TATGCTTAGAATAATGGTCAGAGTCTTATAAAATGTATAAAAGTTCGAATCAAAATATTTACGTTTTTGAACCCCTTGTGATGAAAGACATTTTTCGACCCGAAAGCCGGAAGTTTTTTCAGCAAATGGTATTTTAAAAGAATCAAGACATATGCACCTCCATAAATATTGCTTCAAATGTTGCTGCGCTATAGTGTGCTACGGATCCTTCATATTCGGAAGTCATACCATGGACTATATGTTGTGAAACAAAATTCGAATTCAAACAGCCGCCATTTGTACACTTCAACATTTGAATCGTGAATTTTGGTATTTCTTTCCTAACGAAAAATTCCTAAACTCTCAATAAATGATCGACATATTTGTTCGAATGCTTTGAACCATTTATTTTGAATTTATAGTCTGTTATAATTTCAGAAAATAACGACATTTCGACGTTTTCATTGTTGGAAAATATCGAGTTTCGATCCTGGGAGCCAATCTTCTTTGTGGTTTATATGTCTATGCTTTAACTGACAGTTATTTCATTACTGCGCATCTCGATTCAGAAAATTTCAAATTGTACTTACCTCCAGACCCAGTTGAAATCGACGATGGATGGATTGAGTCGTTTAAGATCTTCCACTTACAAATAATGCACAAAATATACAGTAATTTTCACGGTGTCGAAGAAGTTAAGATATAAAAAATCAAGATATTTATGTTTTATGAAATTGCTACAGATTGTAGGGAAACACTATCACTATACTTGTATATCTTTCAACTTTCACCCCACATAGTCCAAATGTATTAAAGTTACGATTGCCATGGTAACGGTGGTTAGAGGTATGTGTCGCAGTTCCAGAACATGGGTAAAGTGTGATAAATTGCTGTAATACATCTGTAACCATTTCACCCCGGAATAGCCTGACAACAGTAAAGTCAGATACCGTTGAAACAAATGGCGGACATAGTCGTCGCTTCAATTAATTTTCATGAACCGTATGTTCAATAGAGCACCTATACTAAATTCCTTTGGAACAACAATCAATCAAAGTGTCTTAATACTCATTGTACAGTTAATAATGTTCTTCCATCGAAATAAAGTCTTTAATTTAACCGATCAAAATGAGAAACGGAACAACAGACACTGTAATTATTACCATATGCCGTTATCTTTCTAAATTACTCAAATTCAGATTCCGTTGTCATTGACGTGGCGATTCACGACCCAATTTGATCGAAATGGGATTTCATATGATACATTATCACACGAGCTTAATACATGCACAGAATTAGCGACGATACAATCTCATGAAATGAGGACCAAGTGATTAAACAGTTGAAGCGACGGTTATGTCCGCCATTTGTGACAACGGTATCTGACTTTACCGTTGTCGGGCAATTCCGGTGTGCATTTAAAACAGTGTGTTCTGTCAACGTTTGGTTTGGTTCGATATTGTAGTGTTATGGCTCAGTTTAATGATGTAAGTTATACATATCGGAACTATGTAATGAGACTAACCAGTATAATCAAAGAAATCTTATAATATGATTTTACAAGTCCTTGGACAAAAGGTTGTTGGATTAATGGGAAAGACGATACTAAACCTCCACAATGTACCACAAAGCAAAGAAAATAAATTTACAATGGAGTGTCTTGAAATAAGATATTTTCATACAATGCCCCATATTCACCGGATTAAGCCCCTTTAGAGACTTTATGACAAATTTCTGAAAGCAATACATGCAAATGAGCGAGTAAGAGCGAATCAATTATGTGATTACACTTAAAACATGCTTTTCGTTTTAGTCCATTTTAGGTTGGGGTTGTTACTTCGAACAAAAGGAGCGATATTATAGGGATGCATTTGGCATGAAAAATCTGAATTAGCAATCTTCATATCTTTATTCTGTTTCAGATCGCTGGATCCCAAAACATGAAAAACTCAGGCTCAGCGAATCGTGAAAGAATTATGCAACAACGAAAACAAGACAATAGAGGATGTGAATAGGAATTTTGATTTTTGAAATTCTACGTATACCAATACACCAATACGTATGGGGACAGGATGCAGCTGGCTATGAGTGTGGATACCTCTTTCCAATGTTGAATATGTCAATAGATGGAGCTTGGCATAAGCGCCGGCCATTTTATTTTTAACGGACACTTGACATGTTTACCAAGATGTTAAAACTGTTTTATCATGCATGCGTCTAATATGATAGTGTTACAACTTATATTTTGCAAGCGCTGATCGAATATAAAATTTTCAAAATCAAACGTTAACATGTTTATGCATAAAAATTATTATTACCCAGATGCGAGTAGTTAGTAATTACCAGTTCCGCCAACGGGTGGCTGATTCGCATCGTGAGATATCACAGCCTTCTCTCAGTTTCCTTCTAGACATGTACATAGCAGAGATGGTCTGAGTATCAGAATGGTTGATTCGGGTTTATTAACATTTCTGGTATATCAGAAAGTTCCCTTAAAGAGGCTCTATGCCATAGCACGTTGTAGGCAGAATTCCCACGACATTTTTTTTTATCACAAACGTATATTAGTATCATATGTTTAAGAAAATGTACACATTTGCGAACAAATAGTTCAGAAGACAACAGAATCGTCGATTTAATTCCTCGGCTTAAGTTACAGAAACGGAATATCGAAAAACAGTTAAGATCTGCACTTTTAACCCATACCGTTTCTGTATTAAGTGAGGAATTAAATCGACGATTCTTTAGTCTTCTGGGCTATTTTTTCGCAAACATGTACATTTTCTAAAATATATGATACTGATACACGTTTGTTGGAAAAAATGTCGAGGGGATTCTGCCTGCAATGCGTGAAGTAAGGAAAAAAGAAAAATCGTACCTTCGACGTTCCGACAATTGTTGGTAACCAGCGTTATCGAGTGGATCACCAGTGAATATGACATCGTTGATTGTCTGGGGGAGAAACCTATGGCATAATGCATCTTTAAACTTGAATTTTATCAGTTTAAGTGGATAAATTTTCATTTTTGAAAATTATCATTCCCACGTAAACCAATGAAAAATGGTTGATTAGGGGCAAATCAGATTTCTGGATATCTATTCAGTAAATGCTTCCCCCAAAAATACGTTTATATAGAAAATTTAATTCTTCTGTACGCAAAGTGTTAGTTTACTTAAATATTTTCATCTCCTGTGTTATTTCAATGGGAGAGGTTTCTTGAAAAATACTTTACTTTGGAGACCTATAACTTTGTTAAACGTGAAGATACATATCATTAAACAAAGTTCGCAAATTCAATTTTCTACCTAACTTGTATTTTTGCGAGAAATCGGATGGATGGATATCTTGTCATATGCCTTGCGACAAACCTATCAGTTCCCATTGATTTAACATGGGAATGTCGATTTTCAAAACTTCGTCAGATTTGTCACCAATATCCGACCTATTGTAATTGTTGAAGAAATTTAGAAAAATTGGAGGTATTCGAAATGATGTCAATTTATATTTCAAGCCCTAAAAGTAGCATTTTCTTTACAGACTATGCAAATAAAAATTCAAACACGGGGAGTTAGGGTTGTCAAACTAATGGAGGGGAGTAGATCATTTGTGTATTTTCAAATTAGGTTATTCCTGATTGCAAAATATCCCAGGATAATAAAAAACCACATAAAACCCTGGCATGGTTATTATCCAATATCCCAATTGATTTACAGCTTATTATACAAAGAAAACGCGCGTATCACCCAACATTCACGAATCATCAAAATTCGAAACGGCAGTAAAACATTTCATTCTCATTGAAGCCATTAAGATACACCTTGTAGAACAATCAAAAATACAACCTAAAATAAACAATTTAGAATACTATCAATTGCTCATACTAGTTTGAGTATGTAGTCTCAATATTGGGACACATACAATCAAGTTCCTTATTGACATTATTATTAATGTTAGTATCATCTATTGTAAGGTTATTACTTTGGGAAGGCCAACATACCTTTTTGAGTGGGCTGTATTGTATGACATTTCCCACGAGCCTAAAAATTGAAACTAAATTTCAAACTGGTAATTGTTATATCATTCTTTCAAGACTAGTTCGTCCACGCTCTCAAGTTTATTTGTCCTACTCTTCCATATCACACCGGAATAGCCTGACTACGGTAAAGTCAGATACCGTTGTCACAAATGGCAGACATAACCGTCGCTTCAACTGTTTATTCACTTGGTCCTCATTTCATGGGATTTTATCGTCGCTAATTCTGTGCATGCATTAAGTTCTTTTGATAATGTATCATATGAGGGTCGTGATTCGCCAAAATATAGTGTCTTCGATATCGTCAATGACAACGGAATCTGAATTTGAGTAATTTAGAAAGATAACGGCATATGGTAATAATTACAGTGTCTGTTGTCCTGTATCTCATTTTGATCGTTTAAATTAAAGATTTTATTTCGATGGTAGAACATAATTAACTGTACAATGAGTATTAAGACACTTTGATTGATTGTTGTTCCAAAGGACTTTAGTCTAGGTGCTCTATTAAACATACAGTTCTTGAAAATCTAATTAAAGCGACGGTTATGTCCGCCATTTGTGACAACGGTATCTGACTTTACCGTAGTCAGGCTATTCCGGGGTGCATATAGGAATATGAACATGAAGGGTTGACGATGTTTCACATTCCCCACAAAACTTGAGAGAAATAGATAAAGGGAGGGGGATGTGTCCAGATGCTTAATGCAATAATTGGATTTGCCAATGTTTTATCGTATGGCACACGTATTGTTACATATTTTACGTTACCCCAATCAATTTATTGATTTTATTTCAGTGTTGATTTAATTGCTGCATAAACATAATTAATCATTTTGAACGTTCGAGTAATGACTCTTAATTCATCTGGTCCTTTCTAACTCTTCATTCCAACCGGTACGAGTCTCCCTGAGCGAGTTTCACAGTAAAACATACAAATGTAACCATTAAAGGTCAAATGTGCCAACTGCAGAATTGATGGTATGACTGAAATTGACAAAATGCATAAATACATGTATAAAAGAATAGTAAATGAATTTACATTGATGTGAAGAGTATAGGTTTTGTTTAAAAAATGTCAATATTGATGAGATTTTTAGTTTTAATAGTAGGATGTAGTATTTGGATTTATGCAATGATTATGGTTATTGGAGAAAGCAAAATTACAACCGTAACGAAGTCATATGATCTCAGGTGCCCTTCGGAACTCTTATCAGAGAATCAGAAGAAAATGTTAAAGAACAAAAACAGTTCGTATTATCATATAGTTTATTCAGACTCTGAATCTGACTTAGTTGGATATGACGCATTAAAAAGCGATGGTTGCGATTCATACCCATGTACACTGAACGAAAATAGAGAAGCGCCCCGGGTTATGTCGGGAATGGGTGAGTGTACAAATCCAGTGGAATGTGTGACAGTGGTTACTAAGACACATCACAGGTTAGCCTTAGTGAAACGCATGGTAGAATCCGTTTGGCGATGGTACCCAGGAATGGCGATCATAGTCGTAGATGATTATTACGCAGGATCATCATTACGCAAGGAATGGAACAATTTACTGGAAAGTAACAATAACATTAAGTATGTTCAAATAGAAATATGGGGAGGAACTTCAAAAGGAAGAAACCTGGGTTTTAAAATGGCTAAAACAAAGTATGTATTCCTTCTAGACGATGACGTTGTTTTTACAAATCTAACCAATCTTGAAAAAATGGTGAGCATTCTGGACAATACAGACATCAGCATCGTAGCAGGAGTCTACAATCATAAATTTACAGGCTCATTCCAAATAGAGAAAACTCCCGATGGAGATATACATTTATTACATCACCCGAATGCATTCATAGGAAGTGTTCCTTGTTACTCTCATTGTTACACAGTTGACGCACCTCAAGATATTTTTCTTGCGAAACGTGTTGACGTCATAAACGCAGGAGGATGGGACGATAGTATAAAAACAATTGAGCACATGGAATTTTTCATGAATATGCGACTTGCTGCTCTTAAGGTTGCTACATGTAAAGATATATATCTCGATCATCTTCCTCCTTTGAACAATACACTTAGAAATAATAGAATAACTAAACGTGCTTTTTACCTAAATATGATAATGCAAAAATGGAACGTAACACGATGGTTCATAGGATGTACACCAAACAAGATGGCTGCTTCCGGAAAAAATAGCTGCGCACGAGAAAGACATCACGTTTCGTTTACAGCAATACCCGAGGTCGATGTAAAACATATCAACTGACTGTATTTTTCTTTAAAGTTTCCAGTATCATCAGTTGAAGTTCCACCATTAACTGGGGGTTTCTGGAGCCATTCTGATACTCATAGCATCTTTCTGCTTCACCTGAAACATCTCAGGGCTGAGAAGAAATGAGATGTCATGGTTTATCATGATGTTCTAGAGCACGCATAATCTTATTTTGCAGTGGAGTGAAAATTAGAATTTGTGAAGATTGAAATTTAGATCAGAGTAAATGGGCGTGTCATGACTTAAATCTCTTCGTAAATATATGCTTTCCGTGAAGTAATAGTGCCATCATACCTTAAACTTTTCGTAGAATATAATATTTATTGAGTACATTCACATCCCCGAGGGTCGCATATATTTGTGTGCTTTCCGTGAAAGCAATGATGTCATACATAACATAATCCCTTCGTATATTTATATGCTTTCTGTGAAAGTAACTCTTTAGATGGCAATTAGATTTTACCGCTGTTCAAGACGACCAAGTATATCATTGTCATTTTTTCATTTTTGCCAAGAGATAATCAAATAGTTTGTCAGATATTTGGCAATTTAACATTGTGCACAATAAATATAACTTCACAGCAATATCGGTTTATCATCAAAATCAAAAGAATGATTAATATTTTTGCTGAAAATCAGTTTAGCTATTGTCATTATAAGGTTTTTCCAATATACCACCAACAAGATCAATCACAAATGGTTACCGTATTCTCTCATCCAATGATTGAAGTAAAATGAAAAAATTTTATGAACATTTTTTTTAATTTGGTATATTCATTTTCAATTTATATTACAAAATATCCAATGATTAACGCATGTTTTTTCTTTCTGCCACCGATGCTGATTAAAACATACGTATTTCATTATAAGCAAAATATCCATAAACGTAAAATATAAAAAGTATTGGGAAAGTATAAGATATTTAATATTCACTTAATATTGAGTGATAACGAGCTCATTTGGTACATAAATAAAAACCTCAACCTCAGTAATTAATTAGGTAAGTCGATACTATTCTTGATAGCACTCAAAATGAACATATATCTTTGGAAGTTTCTGTTTGCATAAAGCCCTAATCCGTTTCAACTAATTAGATTGATGTAACTATATATTTATGTATACAAGACATTGAAAGCTCTTTATCTAGATGATGTATACAAATTCACAAATTATGTAAACGTATAGAAAAGTAACGAGATAATGGGTTGTTTCATGTAACATGAGTTCACCTCTCATAATAATGTGGATCAACCCAATTTACCTCTACTGAGATTTGAACGTTTCTTCCATTGTTACGTTAGGTTTGGGGAGATTTGTTAACTTTTTGTTTTCCAGGAATATATGATAATACACAATGCTGTTATGGATAGAGTATGAGTATTGGGTTTTAGGAGAAATAATAGGCGAGGCGACCAGACAGAGGCTATTAATACTCATAAGACTCAATACAAATGGTTTATCTAACTTACGCACACACTGGGTATACACTGATTTTTATGAAAGGCAAATGGTCCATGATTCAATTTTAGGAAAAATGATTTCTTCTGTATTGACAAGTGAGTGGGTGTACTTAAGTTCATCTGCACTGCACTGCATGTTACAGGCCAGGTACAGTTTAAAATTTGATTTCTTTTGTCCGTACCATTCAACTTATTGAATGAGGGAATATGGATACTTAGTTCAGCTTTTGTGCACAGTCAATCGTCTTTGTGCCACATTGGTTTTGGATAGCTTGCCAAGCATGTGTACATTCTTTAAAATCAAGAGAACTCATTTTTAGAATAAATATGCATTTCTCATTCAAATAGCAATGGTATCTCGTGATGTGTACTATTATTGTGTATTTCAAAGCTAAACACCTATGCCCAGAGACATGGGCTTTCGTTCAAGACACGGTACTTAGTCTTTGGCGGTAGAGGTGGGGTGCATGGAATGTAGTTCTATAATATGTCATCTCTTTGCCATTTTAAAGTAATGGCATTTAGGGTATTTTCTCTTGATATTATACCTGAAAACAGTGACAGTGTCAATAAATCGGAAACATGCTACACAATTGACAGAAAACTGTTCTGTCTATGATCTATACAGAAGGAACAACTCCTTGGAGTATTTAATGCAGCGTTTTATTAAAAGTCAGAGATGTCTAATGGAACGATGGCCTTACAGCAATATTAAATAATGATTTATATTCATGTTGTTCAATTGGCTTTATTTTACGGTTACCCTCTGGTGGATTAATAGCTAAATGTTATCCAAAATCAGATAATTAATCTTTTATAAATAGCAAATATGCAATTTGAAAGCTTATTAGAAAATTAACTCCCAGTTGAAACCTGATAACCAATGAGTGATCAATAACAAAAGCTTTAAACGGTTCGTTGATCATTAGTTAAATGGCAAATATCCTTGATGCCACCACGCTTTTCCTTGCCAAACTCCGCTATTCTTAAATGAAATGAAGTCACGCTTTTCCTTACCAAACTCCGCTATTCTTAAATGAAATTAAGTCACGCTTTTCCTTACCAAACTCCGCTATTCTTAATGAAATGAAATCACGCTTTTCCTTACTTTTCTCTATATAAAACTTATTGAACTCCAGTCTCCAATATCCTTACTGAAATGAGACTACGATTTTCCTTACCAAACAGCCTTATTGTACTGAAACCTTGTTAACGTTACTCGTTTCCTCATTGAGCTGAACTAAAATTTTGTCTTACAGATATCATCAATATTGAATTTAGCTACATTTCTCCTTGCCAAATATCCTTGAAACCACATTTGCCAACCATTTGTGAAGTTGATAAAGACGCTCTTCAAACACTGAACCAGTTGGTCCTATATTAATTAGGACGTTGCCAATAGGATATTACAATTCAATGATTAAAGTTAACATGCACTTTACAGTGTGGATAGAACGTTAGACATCACATTAGAGTATACCATTATCACATCAGGAGAGTAGCCAGCTTTCAGTCAGGGGGTGCAATCGCCCCAAAATTTGGTTTACAGTCAGGGGATGCGATTGTGGCATAAGCAAGCCAAAAAAGATTTTTTAAAGATCTGTTTTGCAATTTTTTTTTACAAAAATTGCTGCAACTTCCTTTCGGTTCTATTCTTATTGGAATATGGGGAGGGGGGGGGGTGATCGCACCCATCGTACCCCACCCCCTGGCTACGTCCATGATTATGGATGGCTATTTCATTCAGACTTGAATTGGCCATTGTAATCAAGGCTATGTTTGGAGTTTGGAAAAAGGAGACAACGCCAACAACTGGCATAACCCCCTATCACACCAAACTAGTTCTCAACCGTTCTTTCCGGTCCTACGAAAAAGTTGTAAAACGGGCTAAATCTGGCTGTGGTCGGGAAATATGTCTAAAGTAATAAGCAATTTCGTTCATAAACAGTCTGCAATACGTCCATCTCATTCGCAGTTCGTTCAGATCGCACCATGTCGGTGTGCACACGCATAGCAATTGATATCCGACTGCACAACGTTGTATAACGCGTCCCTAGTAGAGTTGAAGTACGGCAATTACGTTCCTGGTCTAGTACATGTAGGTCATCTCGTTTGAAGTACGTCGTCACACGATCTGATTACAGAACGGTATGGTCGCCATCGAATTTTGGATCATTTCCAAATTCTAAAATTACCTTCCCGTCTGAGAACGTTCATGAAGTTCGTAAATAGACCTTTAAAAGTTACGTTCATTCATAGCTACGTGCATTCCGTTCGCACACAGTTTAAAACCAGTTTTGAAGAACGCAGTGGCAACTAATTGTTTGGTGTGATAGCTATATTTTTGATAATTCATAAGCAGCCTTTAATACGTTCTTAATCAGTTTAAACCCGTTTGCAATTAGTTCTACCTCGTTCTCAATACGTCCTCAGACAGTTCAACTCGTTGTAAAAACGTCCCTAGTAAAACTACAGTACGACGGTTCCGTTCGTTGTACGTCCAACTCGTCGTTAGTCGATCACTCGTTCTAATTGTAGAACGTGACGACCACGAGAACATTTGAGCATGTTCTAAGTTCTAGAGGACCTACCCGTTCGAATACGTTCGATGAAGTTTGTAAATAGACGCCATACGGTTCTAAGTTCGTCCAGTCCGTTCGTACACAGTTGAAGCCCGTTTTCGAGAACGCAGTGAGAACTATTTTGGTGTGATAATAGGGTTGCTTCAGGCAGAGGAAACAATGCAATGAGCTGCCAGCGATAGAGAGTGAGAGACAATGACGTAAGTGATGTTAACACAGTGTTCCAGCTATAATTTTAGTATGCCGCTAATCATATCAAAATAAAAGTTCACTTGGCACTTCTTCAACCATAAGACTCTGGTCTATGCTATTGTCATGCAATTTTCTCACTTCCTTTCCATTACGTTCCCTGATAAAAGCCAGAATGTCATAGAGTGATTATTTTTAGTTAATGAAGTATCCCGAGCAAGTCAAATCACTAAGTTTCATGTACAAGTCTGCCATTGATTGAGATGAATGAAGTAATGCATGCAATGAAAGATAATTTAAAGAATATTGCAAGTTGGGCAAGGATTTATCATTGAGATGTGCTTTATTGAGAAACAGGCCAAGGCCAAGCCACCGCTAACGTCTAAGAGTCTATTAATAACCTGGAGGTCTAAATTGCATTTTTGAAAAAAACTTCCTACATGGAGGTCTAAATTGCATTTTTTTCCTGCATGGCTTTATAAGTTATAAGTGTGAATTTTCAAAAATTATTACTTTCTCATTGAATCTAGAAATGACATTCAAGGGTAGGTTTGAAAGTAATTGGCAAAATGAATAGGGTGGGCCAAAAATTATATGGTATCCGTTAAACCAAGCCATGTTTTATGATCAGTTTAGCGATTAATCATTTCCTAACAAAGACACCATCCGATTGAAAAACTTTTGTTTTCCTGCTGAGTAAAAGGCCAAGATTGACATCAAGCTTATCTCTTTTGAATTAATTATTAATTGTGTATTATTCTTAATTCAAACATGACCGTGCTCTATTCGAATTTCTCAACCAATCAGAATGCAGCATAGCCAATATAGAACGTTCTCTAATTCTTCATAGATGCACGACCATGCTCTTTTCAATCTGCAATTTGCATTGTTTTGAGTGACGTCACATCTCAGCTGCACATCTGGGGCTCTGTCCGGGGATAGCTGTTCTTTTTTACTCCCTATTTATTTTTATTTTATCAACACCCCATGTTTGCATACACCGTATAAAATCTAAAACGGGGAGTAAAATAGAACAGCCCAAACAAATTCTAAAATTTTTCAGGCCGACTTCAGAATCTTGACAGCATGCGTATTCTTCCTTCATGCCCGTTCCACAGACACGGCTTTTACCAATTTTTATGTTTGAATCGGAATAAATAATGATAGGCCATTCAATATGGTGAAATTCAGCACTCGTTGGACAGAATGTTAGTACAAATGCACTCACCTCCGGTTCGTGCTTTGTACAACATTCTGTCCAACTCGTGCTGAATTTCACCATATTGAATGGCCTATCATTATTTATTCCTTAAATAAAGAATGGGTATCGATATGGCGAACTTTTTGAACACACGTTTCTCTTAAACCAGTTATCAAAAAATTCTGAAAATCTTACAAATTGTCAATTTAATGGCCATCTTCTGAATGGTAACAATATAATTTGAAAGAGATAAACATACTTTCATCTATATTGTTTTAAAAAACACATCAAACACTTGTTTTGTTCTTTCCGAACCTCATTGGAACAAAACGACATAAACACAACATGTTTAGGTCTCTCAATATTGTAATTGTACAAAGGAATTTTTGGTTGATTTTAAAAAAGTATCTTGTTAATGAAATAAAAGTTTTTTCTTGATTTTTATCTATTTTGGGGGGATTTTGTTTTAATTTTTTGAATACTTTTTTAAAATGAACCAAAAATTCCTTTGTATAACTTTAATATTGAGAGGTCTAAAAACATGTTGTATATGCTATTTTGTTCCAACAAGGTTCGGAAAGACATTGTATTTCATTCTCAAGAATTGGTTGAAAGGAGCAAAAACAATTGCACTAAAAAACAAAAAATGTTAACAAAAACAGTTATATAAAATATTTCTAAATAATTTTCGCATTAAATTCTTGTCAATCAGTCAACATAACATAAAATACCATGTTTTTTACAGAATGTTTTCAATGATTGGTTTAAGAGAACAACATTGTTGAATTCAGTTCTCCATATCGATACCTATCCTTTATAATGATTCAGTCAAGCATATTGAGTCCAGCTGTTACCGCAATTTGGATGGAAATTTCATTTTCTGATTTTTGGTCGCTCATGACACCCCTGATGTCAATTTTAGCCTCTAATTCCACAAGAGAAGAACGATTTTTCAATCAGATCATGTCATATTGTTAGAAAATGATGCATCTTTAAAATGATATATGATACATATTTAGCATATATCATATAATAGTCATCTTTAAACTTATCTTTGAACTATTATCCTCAATATCTAGCGCTATCAAAATTTCTCCACAATCTAGATTAACAAGGCATTAACATGACAAAATGTCACCACCTAGTTGCTCACAATATTATAAGTTCAATCTTAAGTCAGATTTGAATTCCGTAGGCCTTGTTCAATTGTTCAATTTGAAGCAAGTTGAAAAATGCCTTTGTGACCTTGAGAAGGTCATTGAAGGTCAAATATTTTTTGACCTTGAGAATGCCATTGAAGGTCAAATCTATAGTCAGATTTGAACTTCTGATAACTTGTAGATGATTTTGAAAAAATGGTCAATTTGAAGCAAGTTGAAAAATACCCTTTTGACCTTTTTACCTTGAAAAGTTCAGTGAAGGTCAAATCTTATACATAAAGTCAGATTTGAACTTTCGAAAACTTGGAGATGATTTTGAAAAAAACTGAAGTCAGTCTAAACAGTATTTGTTACGTTATTGGAAGTTTTAAGAATTTGTTACAGACGCCAACCGCCAGCCGCCAGCCGCCGATCGCCAACCGCCGTCACAAAAAACGGAGACCATATCAATATGTCACCACTTTCGGGTGGTGACATAACAAGTAAAACAAAAAGTAATACGACAGTTCTTTCACGTCAAAGAAACAAATTGTACGAATTAATATGACATTCATGGTATTTTTATCCCAGGCAGTTAATATTAATTCAAACATGACCGTGCTATATTCGAATTTCTCAACCAATCAGAATGCAGCATAGCCAATATAGAACGTTCTCTAATTCTCCATAGATGCACGACCGTGCTCTATCCAATCATCCGGGAATCTACGTATTGTATATGCATTGTGACGTCACACCTGGGAATGGCGAAAATAACAGCGAGCTCGAGTTTGGTGTATCTCATGTAGCTCCAATCCCCAATTCTCTGAATTATGTTTTCATTTTTATATGTTTGAATCGGAATAAATAATGATAGGCCATTCAATATGGTGAAATTCAGCACTCGTTGGACAGAATGTCAGTACAAATGCACTCACCTTCGGTTCGTGCTTTGTACGACATTCTGTCCAACTCGTGCTGAATTTCACCATATTGAATGGCCTATCATTATTTATTCCTTAATTTGCCCACCCTTTTGACAATCAAAACAGCCAACTATTCTGATAAGACGAACATGTACTGCAGATAAGGTTATAAAGTGCGGGACCAATGTGACCTAACTATATAATAGTAAGCGTCTTCGAATTAATCTTGATTGGCAGAAGATATGTTTTCAAGTACTTTCATAAATTGTTCTTATTGTAGAAAACATCATTCGTGACTAGCATGTACTGCACTCTGCTATATTGCACTTTTAGATTAAAACATACAACGTATGTTTAACCTTGTTTTTTGAAAAATTGTAATTTGAAAATCAAAATACGATTTGATATTATTATTTTCTAAAAAAAACGATTTATTTTGGAATACACATATTCCTTTGGGATAAAACATCCAAAACCACGAAGCATAATGGGCTGGCTGTAATAAAATGCTTATTCCATATACCTACTGAGGTTCTTGATCCATCGCGTTCCCGATATTTCCCACAAGTTATGTATCTCAGACCACAGGTGATGCTTATACATTATAGAAAATAACGAAGAATTAGGAAGTGCAGTTATGATGCAAAATCAAACATGAAATCCTTTATCTATTCCTCACATTAAATTTTAAAACCTACATCAAACCAACAGCATATTCTTCGCTTCAAATCAGTTAATAGTGTCACAGTACATCTAAAGTGTACGACAGTACATTTTGTCACTGTACGTTGTCGATGGTTAGGCGTGATATATACATTTTGATGAATCAACCTAATGAAGCAATACTACGGTATTAAGGAGGTTTAGTTATGCGTTTTTAAGAGGAAGTTAAAACTATGGAAAGAACTAATCCTTGGTGACCATAATCCTACGCGTTCTCTAGGATTAATTGCTAAAAAATAGTAATATCTCGGTAATGTTCGCCAGCATTATGCTTGAACGAAGAATTTAATTTACTGTAGGCTGAATCATCATAGTTTACAAACATTATCAATTTCTAGTGATACGCATCCTTTCACAAATGTTATGTCTTGTGTTTGTTGCTCATATAATTTATTCCAGGTCTTTAAGTTCTTCCAGGCTGAAGAGTGACACGTCTTCCGGGGCGGCCATTTTGTCTATATTTGCCTTAACCTTATGTTGCGGTGCGTCTGTTGGACACGGTTCCACAAATCCTTCCCCTGTGCCACATGGAGGGCAGACATCCTCGGGAACTGTACAGATCTGTCGGAGAATGTCGAAAACAGTATCTATGGAACAGAGAGGTTTATATATTATGACCGTTGTCTATATAATTGTCCATGCATATATTATCTCAAGAATATGCATTATTACAGAGTCCGGACATATAAAATAAATGTGCACGTGCACTTTTTTAGAACAAATCATATAAAAGGTATACAGATTTATACGAATTGAATATTCGAGATTAGTAACGGTGTATCAGAAACCAAAACAACCCAGAGAACAAGCAATGAAAACGAGAAAATGTACACACACTTTCAAAGGAATCATTTCAAAATTGAATGGCAGATACTGCAGAAGGAGTGTTACCTGGAATACACTCTTGTGCGTTTCCAATCATTTTTTCGTTTCTACATGTATAATACCACGTGCAGTTACGGTCGTAGTAGGGATACCTGTCATTAGTCAAACCTGTACAGTTCATCTTATCACCACAGGGAGGGTCTACATTCGCACGGCTGGAAAATGTTTACATATATTCATATATAATATATAGCTTAGTGGTAGAGCAATCGCCTGGCAAGTGAGGGGTCGTGGGGTCGATCCACACTGGGGTGGACCGACTTTTTCAAATCAACCCTTAGCACAGGATTTCATTTTGTGTTTTTCATTAACTAATATATATGTGCATGTGTATGTTTATTCATTACCTGGTTATGTATTACCAATGACCTAAAACGCCAAAGTTGTACATGTACTTAATCGTTTGCGAATTATTTGAAATATTGTCAAACTATTTGCATTCCAAAGTATGTTATATACATCGACAACGTACAGTGACAAAATATAGGGTGTATACTTCATCTGTACGTTGTCATGCTTAAAATGTGATGAAGGTTTTAAAAAATTATCTAAGGAATGTGATGGAGTATTTCATGTTTAATTTCATGTGCACGCTCTTGGTAATAGTTTCCCAAGCAGAACAGAATTTTTTCTAGCCAATTTACTTACAGTTCATGAATGCGTTCCTTACCCCAACATAAATGATATTAAAGTACGATAAGAACTCTAGAATTGCTTGGAGATTGAAGATCGAGTTTGGACCCTATAAATCCTACATTGTTAATGTATTTTGATCCAACCCCCAGGTACATTATGGTCAGTAATAATCACCTACAGTATACGATACGTCCTCGTTCTCGAATTGAGACGATTATGTTATATAACATTAACTTATCCCTATTTATTAATCCATCTGCATTCTCGTTCTACTTACACTTCACATCGCATGTCACTGATGTCAAACACCAGACCTTTTGGGCAGTTGACTATTGTTTCCACCTCATCCCGACATTCTATGTATTGAGTGCATGACACTTGCATATAAATCCCATCCTCTTTAGCGGTGCAATTCACGAAGTTGAAACCTTGGGCTGAAACCTTGCCTAAAATACACAATTCAGATAAACCATTGCAATTATAAATTTGTTACTAAATGATATGAAACTAGAATATGTAGCAATACTCAATGTATGTTTTGTTTGGTGTCCAATTAGGAATATCATATTCGGCCTCTTTGGTGATAAACATATTATTGCAAGATACACATTTATTTTTTTGTCCTCGGGTTCTAGATTTATCCAAAATAGGCTTATTTATCATAATTCAGTTTGGCCCACATTTTCCAAGCTTGATGTACTTTTATTCTATTGAAATAAGTCAATGGGGCAATTGGATGTACTGATAGGAACTTAAGAAATATTGTAAGTAAGATATGTATTATCAAGATTGCTGCCTTCAAGGGGGTGAATTGGGTACATTAGCTGTATAAATTCTAACGCCCGCTTGTTTACAATAACATTAGCAATCATGACTGTCAATTTCTCACTTTTAGATTCAACTTGCTTGCTTTTATAATTAAATTCTTTAATAAAATAATTGCACGTTTGATGATAATCTGCCGATTGGGTCGAAAACTATTTACAAAACATGCTCCAAGTGGGCACCTCTGCTCTCTATGGAATTCGGCGAACGACAAAGTTAGTGACGATCTTCTTACACACATTTCTTCTTGAATGGACAAGTTAATTCCAAGAACAAAAGCTATTGGGGCTTACATCCTCCTGATGAAGTTTTACGGTACCCATTGCATTCTGAAAGGTGTACTACCTGGGTGGCAATGAGCAAACATGGAATAATGAGTCCCTATTGGTTGGAAGATGACTGTTTTATTCAAGTTCTCCTTAAGTTTTTTGAGATCACTGGGCACCAGAATGCGCATCCAAAGAGAAAGGCTGTGGTTTCAACAAGCCGTTGCCACCCAAACACTGCAATTGATACGCTGGAATGGCTTAGACGTAGACAACGCTTTGGTGGTCAGCTGATCAGTCGCAGAATGCAAAACATATGGACAGCTCATTCACCAGATCTCAATTCCCAAGGTTTTTATCTGTGGGGATTTGATATGTGTAGGTTAGTGTCATCAACGACTGGATACAATTGTGCATGGAGAGGAGAGGTGCCAACTTGGGGCATGTTTTGTAATAAATTGCAGTTTTTATTCAATTTGCAGATTATCACAAGTTTCACAACAAAATTCACATTGCATGAACTAATTAATCCTAAAATTCCAAGGCAGAATATGCAAAATTGAACGAGCTATTCAACTTTTCTACGGTCTTGTTTTTGGGAAACTCTGCAGTTGGTAATCTTGCAAGTATATGCTGTAGTCAAGGCTTAAACGATTAGTATATTGTCCTGCTTTTTCCCATCCTACCCAACTTCAGACAAAACTAGTGCAACACGTACAACTCCTACAGCCTCTGCTTTTGCAAATATGTATATTTCTAAGCGCTGTTCCTTGGTAATCCTAAATCATGCTAAACATAATTAGTGTCCGAGTTCGAGACCACCAAAAAATAATTTGAGGGATTTTTATGAAATCAATACAATTACCACTTTTAATACTTAACTAAACAACAAATGGTGCAACGAAATATGTATGCGTAAGTGCCAACAGGAAAATAAATAAACATCGTCACATAACACAGCAAGAAAACGAAAACATCTAAAAGTGCATCAGTCATAACGAAAACAAACCCCAACTATCCCGAATCATAATCCAACGTGAAGAGAATTTCGATGACAAAATGTATGTGGGAGTATCAAATGTTTTTCCTCAGTATATGTTTCAAATATGGACTTTCTTAATGTTTTGATAATTCACCTGCGAATGACTACACTATGAAAATAAATGAATATGAATTCCAAATAATTTAGTTATAAACATATAAAATGCAATCGTAAACAGGGGCGTAGCCTTGTTTGTAAATGCCAGAAAAACGAAGTTGTAGACATTCTGTTGATTGAAGGTGATGCAGACATCTGATTACATAATTGCCGATGTGACATTCGTGATCAATTTCAAATTAAGGTCTAGTTTTTGATTTATAATAAGTAAATCCAATCTACCATTATGTAACAAATAACAATTATAATATCCTTTCCCTTTTCACATAAGTAATAATACATAATCATACGTACATGATACAAAGCATGATAGAGCAACCACAGCTATAATGTACTTCATCATGTTCTCCGGCTGTTTGTAAGATACCGACAGATTGTATACTATTCTTTTTATTGCCAAACATATTTCTACAAGGGTCACGACCCATCATTTTGAATCATTGATTTCGACCAATAGTGCAAACAGTTTGAAATCAAGGGTAAGGCATTACATGTTTTTTGAAGTCCATGCCTAAAATCAAGTGTTATCATGTACTATTAGATATTAGTTAGTTATTCATATATTTCTAACTATCATGGATGTCTAAGCACAGGTGCCAAACGGAAAGAACCAAAAGTTCTAAAAAGTTATAGCAACCATCCAATCTGGGGATTCGAGTCTGTGAAATAGACCCCTGTATAAATCATTGACCCATATAAGGTCAAATCTGAGATTTTATGGACGGATCTTTACATAAATTGTTGCTACGATTATAAAAAAATTATATTTATATTTTAACCTTTCGATCCTGAAGGGTATATTTCTTCCGTTTCCATGGCAACCACCAAACCATGTGACATGAAATTGTCATCACATAATTGGTTACCTTATATCAATATATCCTCATAATTTGAAAACATTTCACTGGTTATTCTTGGAGTTCTAGCCCAATTTCATAGGGGTCCAAATTATAGCCCGTGAGGGGTAAAGCTACCATAAAATCTAGAATCTGAAAAACGTATACCTAACAATCTATACAAATATGTTCTAGGATATATACAAAACCTGTCGGTTAGGGTGGTCAAAAATTTGACGACATTTTAGTTCGGTCATGCTATTCTTTATTTTCAATGATGCCAATTAAATCCATCACATTCACATTCATTTTTTTCACTTAAATTTTCTAATAAATGCATATTTCTGATATTAAAGAAAATCTTTTGAAAGACAAAAGTAAATATGTAAAATACTACCAGGAATAAGTGGAAAAGAGGACCTCTCTCAGATATTTTTGCAATATATATTGTAACAATACTTATTTATGAATACTAGTATATACAAAACCACCCATCTGGACATCCACCCACCCTTCGTTTTCTTTCCACTCTTAACATAATTAAAATCGAAATACTACCAATAAAAACATAGACAAAAGAAGAACGATCAATCAAAAAATCATTAATTTTAGATGTCAATTTTAAGTGTACGATTGATCGCAATTTGAAAATAGTTTTAGGAATCTCACCAGAAACGATGACATTTTAAACTAGGAGATAAATAGTTGATTTACCAACTTTGTACTGCAAAGCTTCCCAACGCTGTATTGAAACACTGGACAAAGTCCTCGCTTAACTCCAGCCTGCTCGGGGAAATGGTTTTAGTATACAACATCCTTTCTCTAAATAACTTTAGGAGGGTATATTCTAAAATTCGAAGTACCTTAGGAATGTCAATTAACATTAGTTGTTTGAAAACCATTGCCGTTGATTTAAATTAGGACATTTGATTTTGTGCTGATTTGACACTACATGTAGACTCTATTGGTTAATAAAAGATAAATACAGGGTGACCCAAAAAAATGCAACCCTCCATTTCTTCAATATTTTTCTTAAATGGAAGTAAATTGCTCCGAGATTTGGCACACAAGGACTTCATTCAATGTGGGATCCTCTGGCAAAGTTTGAATAATCGCCAATCGTCAATTTCGCTGAAAACAAACTTGCAATGTGCAAGGAAAACTGTTCATAACACGGATGCATTTTTCCCCATGGGTATGGCTCAACTTTTTGCAGGCATTGCTTGTTGGAGCTCTGCAATTGCGGTAGGGTTATTTCCATACACATTATCCTTTAAATAACCCCATATATAGAAGTCAGGGGCATTGAGATCAAGACGTTGAGATGACCATGGGTTCTCCATCCTAGGAGAGATAATCTTCTCATAGAAATGACTAGTGAGCCAGGCTATGCTATCATAAGAAGTGTGAGGAGTGGTTCCATACTTCTAGAACCACTGTATGTCATTCTAGAAATGCCTAGAACTTCCTGGGAACGCCAATATTGCGCAGTGTGTTAACAGTAACAGTGTTGCCATTATCAACCTCAAACCAAAAGGGGCTGATGATTTCATGTTTGGAAATTGGCAGCCCAAGCTGTGCATTTAACAGAATGAAGGGGACTTTGAAGCACTTCATCTGGAATTTGTGATCCCAGAACACATTATTTCTTGAGTTTACATGTTCAGAAAGAAGGGAATGTGATTCATCCGAAAACCTAACATTGGAAATGGACGACATTTGGAGCATATTTTGGAACGACCATAACTCTATCAATATAAGGCTATGATTATTGAAACTTTGCCAGAGGATCCCACATTGAATGAAGTCCTTGTGTGCCAAATTTCAGAGCAATTAACCTCCATTCAAGAAAAATATTGAAGAAATGGAGGGTTGCATTTTTTTGGGTCACCCTGTACCTCACTTCACATCAATATCGACTTATAATTCTATCGAACGAATGATATATATTTTTGCTGAAAATCAGTTTAGCTTTTATTGACATCAAGGTTTTTCAAATATAGTGATATGATTTTATTAGTACTGATGCCCTTTTAGGGCCAAACGTACATCCGATATACAATTTTCAATAACAGTAAATATAGCAATAAAGTAAAGAAAATAGGATTACATTTTTCAAATGACATATACAATGTTACATATACTTTGATATAAGAATCCTGTCTCTACCAATCATTAGATAATTTATCATGTCAGCAGATTCTTTTAATATTATCCCCTCACTCGTCAATAGAAAAAACCACCAACGATACCTATCACAAATGTTTACTGTATTCTATCATCTGTTATGATTGAGTAGGAGTTTAAGCACATTTCAAAATTTCGTATATTTATTTTAACTTGTATACCAAGTTATCACACATAAACATACTTTCACCAATTCTGATTATCACACATATAGTTTATTATAAACTTTATCCATAAACCTAAAATATAAAAAAGTAAATTAAAGGGAATGTATGAAGATATTTACATAATGTTGAGAGATCTAGAGCTCATTTAATACAAGCCTCAGTAATTAATTAGATAAGTCGATACTATTCTTGATAGTACTCAAAATAATCATATATCTTTAGAAGTTTCTGTTTGCACAAAGCCCTGATCCGTTTCAACTGATTGGATTGATGAAATTATATCTTTATGTATACAAGACATTGAAAGCTAAACTATAAAAAGTTAACGAGATATATGGGTGGTTTCATGTATCAAGAACCCACCTCGCATAACAATATGGACCAACCCAATTTTGCCTTTTTGGCAAATTTGAATGTTTCTTCGATACATGTATATTAGATTTCTGAGATTTGCTGATTTTGTCAAGGAAATGAATATTGTTTAACCATTAATATTCTATAACAACTGATAAGAGTAATAATGAATTTCTTTCTCGTCTTTGTTCTGTTGTGTTTTGAAGGAAAAATTGACTTATTAGAGCTCTTAGCACGGAATTGGCTCAATTTAATGTCCTGTTTTAATAATGTATTCAATCATTGTGCAGATAAAAAGGTCTGTGTTGTTGCAGGAACCAATTTATTTAGGTCTAACGTCGATCTTGTAACACTAGGGATGAATATATATTCTATAAAACCCAGCTTTATCATATTATATGAATGTGTCGAACTATATAAATATTTGCATATTAAATAAGACTTATTATGTTAGGAATATATCAGTAGATTTAATGTAAATATAAGGAGAAAGTCATCTTGCACTTATCCACATTTTGTCCATGCTGTTTCACTATGGACCCATTAGCTGCATAATAGAGAAGGGTTCCCAAAACTCTCCGTTTTTAAATAAATATGCATTGCTCAAGATAATAATGTAAGATAATTTGATTTAAAATCGAAGCAGTTCAAATAAAATGTAAGATGCTTGAAGCAATATCATTCCCCTGTCATCCCAATTTTATTTTCTGAAAAATCTAGATATTTGATTTAATACCTTCATGTTCCCTGTAGTATTTTACTTTTTTAAAAAGCATGTCAATGTTTCCCTTTTAATTTCTGCAGAAACATGTCCAGAATTATTGCCAGATAATAAATAAATAAATAAATAGCTATCAACTCGTCTTTAATGAAACGTCTTTCTGACCCAAGAGCAGGCTTGTATAGGTTGTTTATGGTTGAAACAGATCAGATGTTCAGATCTTTCTTTATATTGTCTCCTTAAATTTTATAAGTCCCGAAGGAGATTGCGATTGGCTGTTTAAATTTGGAGAATGTTTTAGTAAAAACAGATCATGGCACTTCTTGAAAGTGGACACTATTTTATCTACTGGTTTTTCTCGATGTGTACTATTGTGTATTTTCAAATTTGAACACCCATGCCCAGAGACACGGAATATCGTTCATTGATATGGTTGGCATATTGACGAGAACTCGCCCACCATCGGATGTCCATTTTAAAGTTCCATTAAACCCAAGCCATGATACTTTGGTGGCAGCGGTGGGATTCATGGAATGTAGTTCTAGAATGTCATTTCTAGGCCATTTTAAGGTAATTGCATAGACTGTTTTGTCTCTTGATGTATACCTGTAAAACAGTGTCAATAAATTAAAAACATAATCATCGATTGATTGAAAAGGTTCGCTCTTCTTTGCCAAACAATTTTATAAATTTTCAATGTTCTTTCAACATGTATTGTAATGACTTCAGTATGAATGAAATGTCCCTTGATGTTCTGGTTCTGGATTGTGATATTGACTCTCGATTGGAGGGGGAAGGGGGGGGGGTTAAATTTGACCCACTTGTAGAGAAAGATATACCGATTCGCAAATGACTAATATTCAAGAAAATATAATGATGTGGGAGAGTCAAAATCCAGTCTCGAAGTCAATAGGGAATTTTAAGGGACGCTTCTTACGACCAAACATCCTCATTGAACTGAACAATTAAAGACGCTTTTCCTTACCAAACATCCTTATTGAACTGATCATTTTGGTGTATCCAAGGCACAGTATCGTAGATGCCTTCACCATTGATATTCATCCATTCGCCAAGTTGATAAAGACGCTCTTCAAACACTGGAGGAATCCGACCATCAGCAGTTGGTCCTATATTTATTAGAACGTTGCCCCCACAGCTAAAACATGAATCTCAGTTTAATCATTTTAGGATATTACAATTTAATGGTTGTTAACATGTACTTTGCAATGTGGGTAGAATGTTAGACACCACATGAGGATGAACCATTATATATTGCTATTTCAATCTGAGAATTGAATTGGCCATTGCAACCAGGGCTATGTTAGACGTTTTAGAGAGGAGGCAATGCCAATGTTGGCGTGTGAATTGCTGAGGAAACAATTAGCTGCCAACGATACTGCTGTGAGAGACAATGACGTAAGTGCTACTACCTCACTGTTTCAGCTACTATTTTTAGAATGCCGTTAATGTCAAAATAATCGTTCACTTTGGCATTTCTTCTGTAACCGTAAGACTCCTGGTCTATTGTCATGCAATTCTCCCACTTCCTCTCCATTACATGTCCTAATAATAGAGTGATTATTTTTAGTTAATGAATATATAAGCGTAAATGCCAAACTGTAAAGAAACCTACAAGTAAGAAAACAAAACTCGGAGTGTGAACCTGTCATAAGAAAAATAGACCCTAGTATATATTCCAAGACCATGATCTAACGTGAAAAGAAATAGTGTCTAACACCCCCCCCCCCCCTTCGCCCCTCCAATCGAGAACCAATATCACAGAACCAGAACACCAATGGGACATTTCATTCATTCTGAAGTCATTACAATACATGTTGAAGAGAAAATTGAAAAAAATTGATGGCCAATACTCTAACTTCAAAAATAGTTGTAGATACTAGTACTCATAAAAGATTTCATAGAAGCATTCAGTCTCAAATGATGTGGGATAGACGGAATCAAACGATTATTCTGAAGTATTCCAAGAAAGTCAAATCACGAGGTCTCATGTGAAAGTCTGCTATGTCTGAGATAAATGAAGTACTGTAATGCATACAATGAAAGATAATTTAAAGAATGTTGTAGCCAGTTACAGGGCGTTCAGTAAGTAAATTTAATTTTGCTCTCAAACTTTTATTTCTTGTCATTCATCATTCAAATTGAGAATTGAGAAGAAGCATTTGACATTTTTCTAACTAACCTGAAGAATCTATTGAGGAATAATGAAGAATAGCAAAATAGTGGTTGTTATAGTTATACAGATACAGGTTCTGCAGAGCAATTCTAATAGTTCATAACATGGTAGATTTTTACTAACGTTAGTTTCTATCCTGTCTATGTTTTGATCATAGTTCTGTGGCTGCTCGACACATCTACTATCAAGTTAACGTTCAATGCCATGCAAGAAAATGAAGGACGGTGAAGCTTGAGTGAACTACATGTATTGACCTGTAAGAAATTATTTTGGATATTCAAATAGACATGGATTACCTGGATTAAACTTATCCGAACAAGTGAGATATCCTCCATGTTTGCATTCAACATCCATGCCCCACCTATCATTTACAATAACGGTGTCTTTCACTGGACTGTAACAGGAAAATCAACATTATAAATCATACACGTATAAACTGCTTTCTTTATCCTAGAAAATGTACACAAATAAATGACAAAAATAATGCATTTTACAGACTGAAATTAAAACATACAAAACAGGCACACTTAGCTTATACATCAAACTCAGTTCCAAATTAAAAAAACTTCCATTTATTGCAAGTGCAAGTAAAGCCACTTACATCCAAATCAAATTCAGGAATGAGCAGTTTTGCTTAAATACACAACAAAAAATGAATATTATGTAAAATATGTATATGTTTCAATGAACAGCCTTTGTCTTAAATAAAACTGTACTTCACATGTAAAACTGTAAAATCACCTTCTATAAAAAAATAATGAAAATCAATGAAGAATCTTACCTTTCATTATATAGCCAGGCAACAAACTGAGTACTATTAAAGTAGGAATGGTTATTCTTGTGGTGACCATCAGACCAGAATATGTCAGGTTTATACCTTTGCACCAGGTCGTACATCTCAGGTAACATCTTTTCCTGGAAATGTATTTTTTAAATCAGGAATTGTTCCGTTTTAATTGATGCAAAATATCATATTTCATTAATATTTCAAAATAATGAATTATATTATTCTTGTTAGTTGTTGAAAGAAGAATGCTAAGCTAACATGGGGTACTATCATTTGATAAACATGTAGTATAATAAATTATCAATTACCGTACATTAGCCCTTATATATTGTTTACTGGGTCTGTTCAACTACATAATACTCACCCTAACATAGCTTTGTGTTTTAAAGTTATTTGCTTTATCATCTAGGTAGTACGGGTTGAACCATTCATAAAGAGAATGATACAAACCATATTTCAATCCAGCCTCTCTCACAGCATCACCGAGATCACCTTATAAAATGAACAAATTAAGAATTAGTTTACATTCAGGTTTCAAAGCTCAGCAAATTACGAATATGTCTTTGGCGGACTACACTGCCTGTACCATTTGCAAGGGTGTGCGACCTTCATGATTTTATGTCTTTTTAATTTGGTGCAAGTATATGTGCATGACGTCAGGGGTTCTGTCTACCCGTTGTTCTTACCTACTAGATCCCTGTGTGGTCCGTTGTCCATTGCGTTCCAGTTCCAGGATTTCTTAGACGGCCACATGCAGAATCCGTCGTGATGTTTGCTGGTCAGAACAACATATCTACAAAGAGAAGGGCCAATGAATAAGGAGCTAAATCAAATCTAGAACACTTGAACAAAAACTCTGTTTGCATACTTTGAATTTTCTAATTAAGAGTAAGCCCAATAAGTTTTGAAAGTACGGGTTTGTATGCTTGAATGTATGATAACTGTATTGTTTTGGAAATGTACAGGGTGGTCCCAAAAAAATTGGAACATTTGTTAATTGAACACAAAACTTTTATTCTTCCTCTAAAATGCACCCAAATTTTACTGGGCATAGTTCAGTCACTTATCTCTCTGATGTAAAATTTATAGGTGCAAACCACAAAGCTAATGCATTAAACTAGTCAATGTTTGATATGACCCCCTTTTCCCAAATATACACTTGTCAATTTTGCAGCTACTTTTTCAAGTATTCTTTATTTCAAAGCTTTCATGAACATGTTGATTGCTATACACATTTTATAAAATCTTATTTAGTTGACATGAGGTATTAACATCTATGGTTTGCTGGGAAACTATTCTGTTATTGTCAACTTAAGAAGACCCCAAATTATTATTTTTATTTAAGAGTAGGAAAGAAAGAACATGTCAGAGGTGAGTTATTGCATAACCCATACAGCTACTAAACTGACAAAATCATTGTTTCCACTTTTCAGTAGAGGGGAAACTGACGAGTTATTTACAAGGCTTTATTACAGACCACCTCTAAGCACACATAATATAATATACCATTTTTGTTCTGGGAAACTCATTTATGATATTGATATACATATATTGATATATTCAATGAATATTATTCATATTAGAACAAGAAAGGGGAGGGGGTTCATTTACCAGTCAAAACAGACTGCCCTGGCCTCTTTCTGGAGAATATTCAGTTAGTAATATATCCAACAATAGCCATCAAAATATGCTTGATACCCATCAATTTGGGTAAAAGATGTTGAATATGATCATGTATTTGATCTTTAAAGGCAAACATATAAGAAGTTTGTTCAAGTTGAATTTTTAATCAAGATGGCTTGGACAAAATCAAACGAACAGCAAAGTGAATGAATCATTTCAAAACTGAGTCCCAATTGTAATTCAGGAGAAAAGGGGTCATATCAAACATTCTCTAGTTTAATGCATTAACTTTGCTGTTTGCACCTATAAACTTTACATCAGATATGTAAGTGATTGAACAATACTCAGTAAAATTTTGGTGCATTTTAGAAAAAAATAACGATTTTGAGTTCAATTATCAAATGTTCCAATTTTTTTTGGACCACCCTGTAAATTGACCAAAATAAGGACGATTCTAAGATTTCGAAAATCGGAACCTACTCTATACTTATCGACTTTAGAAGTAAGTCTTTAAATGGATATTGGTTCATCATTCTTGTGTAACCATGGTAGTATGATTATGCCGAAGCATGAATAAAGTTGAATTATCTAAATTTTATGTAGCATCGTTTTATAGCTCATGCCCACCCCTATACACAAAAATACACCAACGATATTATTAATATATAATGTACAACTTTATTTAGCCTAGTCTATGTCTCACTTGGCTCCTGAGGCTTTGAAAACCCTTGCCCAGTGTTCAGGATCGAAAAACTCTGCAGTAAACTGAGGTGCGAAATCTGTGTATTCCCAATCTGGTGGGTATCGCCGCTTCATATACTCCTGGACGCTCCTTGAGGGTAACCGATGTCTGACGTGGTCTTTCATTTCATCGCCTCCTTTCCAGTACATCCAGAACCATTCTGCGTAGCCTAGAAACATATGGTCTGACAAAACAAGGCATACATCAACAATCAAAGTAAGAAATACTTCAATATTATTTTTATTAAATATTTGAAAGGCCTTATTCATATTTAACTACTTACCTCCACTTCCAGCCCCAACGAATGCAGGTACAGAGAATACGCCCCAATGTATAAAAATGCCAATCTTCCCTTTGTCATACCAGCTTGGTAGTGGTCGAGTCTCCAAAGATTCCCAGGTAGGTTTATAGCGATTCTTACCAGTCTGTTTAGTTTGTTTAACATCATTATTACCTTCAAATAATTACATGCAAATGCATTTACAGCACAATTTAAAATGAAGCGCTGCAGAAGAAATGAATGGGTCTTTAATACGAGAATATATTATTAAAGTGATACAAGCATTACTTCTACAGAAATATATATTTTTTGACATATATATTTTGTAACCATATTGATTGACGTTTTGAATTAATTCGGCTTTGATAATGATGTTTAAATTGTTTATATCTGTATCATATTAATACTATTAATATGCATGTAGCCAATACATGTATTTTTCCTATCCTCTACCTTAATACGTTTAAGTGTGTTTTTAGAGGGAGTATAGCGTGGAAAAAATTTGTGTATGGCAAGGTCGAAACTATCAATGTGACTAGGGGGTGGGGGATTCAAGAGGCGTTGTTAGGTGTAAAAATATTAATATATGTTATGGGGATTCCCATTGCAAACTAGTTATGTGTATGCCTATCATGGCTTTGTGTTGGGGAGATGCACATGGTATAATAGTTGTATGACATGCAAGTATGTATGAGCATACATGTACGATGGAGATGCGCATTGCTTACATGGCATCATAGTTATATGTATGAGCGAACTAGGGAGATACACATGGCATAGTATTTTAGGAGGGAAACTCCGCTTACAACTGTACCTTTAACTTTCTGTTTGATGTCATTTGTATTTCCTTCACTTGGCATGTTTTGTCGATATCCTAGCTTTTCTTCTGGAGCACTCACCACACAGGGGTAAAACCAGAATACTTGGAGACACACAAAGCATACTTGCAATGCAGTAAAGCCGAGTAAGTAGCGTCTATATTTTAACATATCGCCACTTTTCTGTTTTATTATCACCGGAAGTGTTTTTATTTTTATAGGTATACTCGGCTACGATACAACACGCCTTTGTATTGGTAGATAATGAACTGCAGTTAGTACGTAGTAAATAATGATTACCTTTACATATGCTACCTACTTCAGTTCTCTGTGTTTACGTTGCAATAAACTCACGCCTTATCATAGACAACGTACAGTGACAAAACATGCCGTTGTACAGTTTAGATGTACGGTGTCACTATTTGATCAATTTGAAGCAAAGACAATGATGTAGGTTTGATGTAGGTTTTAATAAAATAATCTGCGGAATACATTACTTTTTCTTGCTAAGATCCTAACAACTTTTGGTCCATTCCCTTTGGCACTAGTGCTTATATATTTAAGCATTTCATGTTTGATTTTGTGTGTATTCGTTGAAGATTTAATAAGTATTGACGTTTTAGCTATAATTTAAAAAATCATAAATGTACGTTGTCAACTCGAATGAGTTTTAGTTTAGTTTTTATGGTTCCTTTATTTTTATTTAAATAATATTAATATACAGCATAAACAGGGCCCAACCCAAAGCATTATTGGCCCTGTGGGTAACAGCATTTGAATTTACATAAAAGATGGCTCTCCTGTTTGGTGAAATGAACTGTTTGTTTTTAACTCATCATAAATACATGTTATTTTAGACAATTTCAACTCAGGTCTGAGTTATCAAACAAAATAATATTCTCTTTTATTTCTTTATGCTAGAAATAATTTTGATCTCTAAGAGTAAGGGATTAAGAGACAGTATTATCTCCAAATAGATTAACAAAAATCATAAGCCATGTCCCGTGATCCCTCCATGATTAATTACGATACTCTTCTATGAAATGACGTAAGTCTAGACTTTTGTTCCGTCTAATATGGGTAACCTCTAAGCAATTTTTAGCCAAATAAAGCATTTTTGGTGGTACCCATTTTGCTAATATGGGTCGGAGTATGTTTCTCTCATATCATCCATTATATCATGTTATGGGAAAATATAGCTCTTTTAGCATTAATAGCATGTTCTAAAACGAGAAATTTTAATACCTAAACCCATTACAATATGTCAAAAATACTGGATAACCCATTGAAAAAAATTCTTACCAGTTTCCTTCCATCCATTAAAAACGTTAACGATAAAAACCCCATATCATGTTAATTTTCAGAATGTGTATGGAATCAACTGTTGAAACCACCACTACCATATATGACGCAAATATGGACATAGAAGTAAAGGGTTCACATTGAAAGTTAAGCTATACGTTTAACTTAAGCGTTATATAATGCACTATAGTACAATCACGTTTATATACATGACTATGTCCAATATATGTTGACTTCAATCAATTCAACCGTAATGTATACTGATCAACCCTATAACTTTTGTATATTGGCCAAATTGGCTTGGTATGTTGTGAGCATGGATTTTAAGCGGATTGGTTGAGTTTAATTTGTTCCAAATAAATAGAATCCCATATAAATTATTTTGGAAAGCAAAATCTGGTTTTATCAGGATGGAATCTGTCTTTCAGAACTGGCAAGCGTAAGTAATAGATTATTATGAAGGATAGCCTGTGTAAATTAATTGTACAGTATACGATATTGACCTTGAGCCTGCACTTGGTATATTTTGGTATATTATAAAAACGGAAAATAGGTTTCCAAGGAATAAGTGTTTTGCTGGAAGCTTAAGTTCTGAATACAAAAACTTGAAAACCAGCTACGGATTAAACAATTGGTTCAAATTACTCGGGTCTCAAGCTTAAAGCTAGATGAGATGTTATAATGGTCATATAATGGTCGATTTTTGAATGGTTCCAACCCGGGGGTTTCCAAACATTTATAGTAAGTAGCGTGTTTATCGTATTATGTAATACTGATCATAAATAAATATAGAAATAAAATAAGACCTATTTTGATATTTCAGAGCTCGGGGAGAAGGAAAGAGACGAGGAATAGATTTGGTGTTTAAGGGCATCAATTATGACATTGGAGAGAGAAGCATCTTGAAGGATGTCTCTGGTATTGCAAAGCAGGGTGACATGTTGGCCGTCATGGGACCTAGTGGTAATCTCATTTCATTGTTTGTCAGAGATCAAACAAATGCCATCTTGGTCTGAAGACAAATTTATCGGGAATAACCCCAAGTGTGATATACCAGTGTGATACGCTGCGATAAATTCAAAAGCTGTCACAAATTGTGTTTTAGGTTCCGGCAAAACGACGCTGCTTAATGTCGTTGCTGGACGTATTGTAGCAGACAGTGGGGAGATAAGTCTCAGTGGACAACCAATCAGCAAACGCATGAGGAAGAAAATGTGTTACGTTCTCCAACAGGACATTTTCTACAGCAACCTGACCCTCAGACAAACATTAACTGTAAGTTTTGGTTTGGACAGTTGACTTTTTGTTTAGCTGTCCCTAGCTGCTTGACCCTTTCTTAGGAACAGGACATAGTTTAGCTTATTTTTCGACTACAGGTTTCAGGTGCAAACTCGATATGTATATCCTCATGCAAATTGTTCATATCAACTTCAAATCGGCCAAACGTGACTCGTATCAACAGGAATCTCAACACCACACGATGACAAGTATACTGTATAAGGTGTCCAGCAAGGTACAGAATATTTAATATATGGCTCTTTTCACACCGACACTCAAGCGTTGGTGTGTGTTGTCCGCAGTTCAGCGTCTTTAACAAATTCTTGCAATTTCCATTACCTTAATTAGTACTGTTTATACTGATTCCCCGAAGTTTAAAACTGATTTTAAATTTGAGACTTGACCTTCAATGACTCCAAATGTAAATAAATAGTACCGTGGGCACTGGGCTCACATGATGTTGCTCAAAAAGAGAAAAGTGAATGATGGTTAAAATGGCAGACAATAGATAAAACGGGGATCCGATCGACCGAGGTCTTAAAACATGCCATCGGTGTTGGAGTGACTGAGAGACATGGACAAATCAATGTTAACTAAAATGGCTGAAAATTTAGAAAAACGGATTTATTTTTTGGGCAATTTTTGTAACAAAATTTTTTCATACAACTACTCTTTACAGTGACATGGCTTTTTACAATGCAGAGGCCTCATTATCATCTGGTCGCAAATAGATGCGATTGCGATTGCAATTGACCTTTTGCGATCAGAATTCAGGAATTTTGTTTATGGATACTGTTGTCACGTATTTCGTCTTATTGGTATGACGTCATATAGAAATGATATTAGACATGATGGAATCACGAAATGGCGGACACGTGGCAGTTTTGAGCTAAAAAATATTGTCGTTTCTTATATAAAACCATGGGTCGGATATTTACCAGGTATGCCGATTTGACTAGATCATGAGTATGGCTATATATATGCGAAGTTTGGGTGAAATTCATACTAAACATCGATGCCTATAAGCGCCCCCCGTTTTTGTCAAAATCGGGGGGCGCTAAACCGCTATCTAAATCATGTCAGTAAGACCTTAGACTTGGTATGTGCTTAGCATGAATGTTGATCTAGTCAAATAGAACGCTTTCGTGAAAAATAAATCAATAAAGCACGATCCGCGAAATATAGAAGATAATCTCTCAAAATCAAGCATCTAAAGCTGGGTGACCTAATTGTGACGTCACTAAAAGACAGAATCCATTCGGTGATCGCAAATCATCAATTCGTAACGCATGCGATGCGTGGTATTATCAATTGATGATTTGCGATCACTGAATGGATTCTGTCTTTTAGTGACGTCACAATTAGGTCACCCAGCTTTAGATGCTTGATTTTGAGAGATTATCTTCTTTATTTCGTGCTTTCATTGATTTATTTTTCACGAAATCGTTCGATTTGACTAGATCAACATTCATGCTAAGCACATACCAAGTCTAAGGACTTACTGACATGATTTAGATAGCGGTTAAGCGCCCCCCGATTTTGACAAAAACGGGGGGCGCTTATAGGCATCGATGTTTAGTATGAATTTCACCCAAACTTCGCACATATATAGATATACTCATGATCTAGTCAAATCGGCATACCTGGTAAATATCCGACCCATGGTTTTCATATAAGAAACGACAATATTTTTAGCTCAAAACTGCCACGTGTCCGCCATTTCGTGATTCCATCATGTCTAATATCATTTCTATATGACGTCATATCAATAAGACGAAATACGTGACAACAGTATCCATAAACAAAATTCCTGAATTCTGATCGCAAAAGGTCAATTGAGCGCAATCGCAGACGCAAAGCAATCGCAAAACAATTAAAACGTAAGTTGCGATCGCAAGTCTAGAGTGTATTTTGGCGCGAAATTTAAAAGGACACTGGGGCTAGTTTTTGACATTGATTGATTGAAATTGATATCTCCAATAATTGATATGATTTGATTGGTTGCGCATGCATTACACTTGTGCAAGACATAAGTGCGCCAAAATGCAAATCGATTTACATTGAACAGACGGTAGTCGAAGAAACATGTCGACAAAGTGGCCCATCGAAATATCTTTTGAACTACAAAAAGATGGTTCTTCAAAAGTCACATAATCGAATTTTGAAATTTCCGCCACCTTCTCGACCGCCCATTTTTAACCAAGCAGCGTCTCGCTTTACGTAAGAGATAATTCTAATTTTCACTCTCTTTTTTGCAAATTACCCCTCCCACGAGAATCTCTAAAAAAATCCGGCAACAATAGAATATCGCTTTGATTTAACATTTTACATAGAGTATTCATATTTATTCTTTATTTGTAAAAATTTCGAGCTTCAAATATTAGGCAAATTAAAATGACGTATTTTTGAAAATTCACATGTCTTTGGGGCAAAACGGCCCACACATGTTATAACATACAAAAATCCTTTTGTACAAGAACAATTGGTTTTCAAATATAACGATTTTAACATTTGGTTTGTACCTTATTTCCCTCCGACACATATCGAATGACTAGAATTATTGTAGCCGTTAAGAATACTTTATCTGTCAAAGGTTTGAACGTCTGAGATAAGATGTGTGTGGACGAGTCTTGTAATTGATTAATTTTGCTTTTGAAACCCATGTTACAGAGGGTGGGCCGTTTTGCCCCGCCCATGGGCCGTTTTGCCCCTCTCCCGACATTATTTTTGACCATTGAAAAATCACAGAAGATAGTCCTAGGCAAGTATAAAACATTCGAAAAATGTAAACCACAACCCATTAATAAAGTAGAACATCAAAGTGCGTGATGATTGGCAGATAAGAAAATACCTCGTGTGGAACAACTCAAAATTAAATTTTTTGGGCCGCTTTGCCCCAGGTTCCCTTAGTATCTCTCATTGAGAAGGATGCAAATATTCTTTTGGCACCACTTAGCTGTCAAATAACAATACAGTCACAGGATAGTTGCTGGGCAAGGGTAGCTGAAAAAATAAGTTCACTTGGTGTGGAAATGAGGACTAGAAAAAACGTTATGTAAGTCACACATCACTGAAAATAAATAGCTGTAAAACGGGAAATCATGTTACTGAAACTAACTGAAATAAAATGAACTTTTGGTCGTTGTTGTTTGTGTTCTACAATGCTTCTATCTAAAATCCGTCAACATAATTTTTCAACAGACAATGAAACGATAACAGCTAATGAGTTTTCTATTTGGTGGTGTATATTTTACATTTTATACACATGCAAGAAAATTGCAAGTTGTGGGTTCCATATCGATATATGTTTAAATATGTCTCCAGTGTATTGCATTTATTTTCCTTTGAAACAAAATATGAAACACGTCTTTTGCATTGTGATCAAAGCAAATCATGTTTGAATCAGGGTCGGGATGAAAATGTGAAAATCTACAATTTTGAGACGAACTCCCATTTCAAATTGAAAATCTAACTCATTCCGACGAGTCAACTTCAATGCGATGGGTGATGCTTGAACAACAGATACAGAGTACATGTCTATGTAAAAAAGAAAATCGTGCTTTTTCATTTTTAAACTATTAAATTTAACAACTTAGTAATTTGCAGTGATATGCATTTATTCTATTATGTAGAATTAACAACGTTTCTATTCATATTCAAACTCGATCAAATAAAATGTCTTTAATATTAAATCTATATCTGGGAACATGGTAGAGATCATTCAGAAAAACGAGCACCTCAAATACTGTACAAAGATACCACAGGAGTTCAACCATTGTTTTAACAAATCCGTGTTCCAGTTCAGGAAGAAATGGAGCGACTTGCAAAGTCGGACAAAAGTGGCAGTTAACAGAAGGGTGACTGAACTGAAGAAAACGGGTGGGGGACGTCGCATACTGCCTGAAGTCTCGCAAATAGAGGAGAGAATAATATCCCTCATGACATTTTTAGAAACCCCGGGATGAAATGATTGTTCCTATTCTTTGGTGTCAGTTCTTCCTCAAAAAGGTTTATAACCTCTCGGCATTCTGTATCTCTGGAGCATCTCGATGTCATTTAGTGAATCGAGTGGGTTAAACCTATCTCGAAATACTCTTCGGCCAATACGATTGTGGTGATCCAGAATGAAATGAAACATCTTGGTGTTCTTGTACTTTTGCAGACGATGTAGGTGAGGAACATATACACTAGGAATACTCAGAACATTAGTGTAGTAGTGGCAAGATTAATTCACCAAACAAGCTTTATTAGCTAGATAAATATTTAATTGGCGAAAATCCTATGCTCTAAAGAGCACGAAATATTGCAGGCACCAATCTAAGACGTTTTCAGTATGTGATGCGTTCGCAATATTTAGAAACAAACGTGATTTTTAAGGATTTACAGGCTCAATTAAATGTATATTTTAATCATATTAAATAAATAAAATTGAACAATTTCTTCGATACTATTGATTAATACTTAACAGGTAGTGAAATGACCGATATAAAACACCACAAAATATCCATTAACATAGATAAAATAACGCTGAAAGATGAACTAGATTTGCGATTTGATTTGCGACAGGGTAAACGTCGTCGCAACTTTTTGTTTAGTTGCGATCAGAAAATCGATAACTTTGCGTCAGACTTGCGATGCGATGGAATGATAATAACATTTTTGGGAATAGTTGCGTTGCGATGTCTTGCGATGCGATTCGCATGCGATGTTGCGTTGCGACCAGATGATAATGAGGCCTCAGGACACCTGAAATTATTTATAAACCTACCAATGGTCCAATGGTCCAAAAGTTAATTTTGCGCGACAAAAATGGCTGCCATTTTGAAAATAGGCGAGCTTTTGAACCAGGAATCACAGGGGGTTTTCTGAATTGACGTTGAACAAACATAACTTAAAACGGGAATCCTATAGACGGAGGTTTTAAAACGTGCCACTATTGTAGACTGACTGAGAGACAGATGAACAAATCAATGTTAACTAAAATGGCTGAAAATAAAAAAAACGGATATAATTTTTGCTGATTTTTTGTAACAATATTATTTCATACAACTGCTCTTTACATTTGACATGATTTTTTACAATGGAGGACACCTGAAAATATTAATAAAGCTACCATATGGTCCAAAAGTGAATTTTGCGAGACAAAAATGGCGGCCATTTTAAAAATAGGCGAGATTTTGAGCCAGAAGTCACAGGGGAGTTTTCTATATTGATGTTGAACAGAAATAACGTAAAACGGGAATCCTATTAAAACGTGCTACTATGGTTGACAGACAGACGGACAAGTGAGTGATTGCAACAGCTCACCATGTGATCTAAAATGGTACATGTATACTGTACTAAAAATCTATCATAGTGATATATTATGAAAATATCCGTATATTATAATGTTATGACTGTATGAGCATGTATAAAAAATGATTTTACAGTACACTGCTTTACTACGACTACCTGAAGAAATGTCAAAAAAGGAAAAGATCCACCGAGTCGAAGAAATAGTAGATGCACTGGACCTCAGGAAATGCTTGGACACAAGTAAGACGTTTTTTTATTTGGAGAAATTTTTGTTAAGAGAATTTGTACTAATATTCTTAATTTTTTGAAATATAGTATGAATTGAAATTCATTCACAATTTTTCCCCGCTGCATCTGGTAGAGCAATTCATATCAGATGTGCCTCTGGGGAATGAGTCTAAAATTGTTCTACTTCATTTCAGTAATGGGGGATATATTTCGGGAATGAGTCTAAAATTGCTCTTCTTCATTCCAGTAATAGGGGATATATTTGGGGAATGAGTCTAAAATTACTCTTCTTCATTCGATATATTTCGGGAATGAGTCTAAAAATGCTCTTCTTCATTCCAGTAATAGGGGATATATTCCAAAGAGGATTGTCTGGGGGTGAGCAGAAGAGAGCGAACATCGCAAACGAGATATTGACAGACCCAATGCTAATGCTTTTAGATGTAGGTAGTTTGGATTTGCTGTTGAGAGCCAATAAAAGTTTTAAAAATCAAGCCCGATGTCTTGTTAAAAAAACATATTCTTACAATTAAAATGGATTCTAACAATACTCTCCCACATGAATCTACTTGTTGAGTATCGATCAACTTGAGTTCTGCAATGGGGATACCACCAAGGGTGCCGGCAAGGGTGCTTTGACTTAACATGGGGCGGCTATGCACGATTGACTAATGACTTAGCATCGGGATATAATCAGTATGGCACCATAGGGTTAGATACAAAATCCTCATTATCTCAGAACTCAACTTTATCGATTCTCAACAAGTAGATTCATTTGGGAGAGTATTCCTAGAATCCATTTTCAATAGTTAGAATAAGAGTTCTTAAATAGGAGATCAAAACTTAATTAAAGGCCTTTTTGAACTTTTTGGTTAGCTCTAGTTTTCAAATATTGTTAAATCAGTTAACAGGTTTTATACGCATGCCTTAAGAAACGGTACATTATCCAACTCTCCTTAGTGCAAGTAAAAAAAAGTGGTGAAATTATTTATGATCAGGAACCAACCTCAGGCCTGGACTCCAACACAGCTTGCAATCTGATGAAGATTATGAAGAGTTACACACAGGTGAACAACAAGACAGTGATAACAACAATACACCAGCCCTCCAGCCAGATATACCATCTCTTTGATAGGGTACTCCTTATAACAAATGGACAAGTGAGTTGACTCTACCTTCAGGGGGTGAAGCGTGTATTTTTGTTTGAAAAGCAGGTAGGTCTAGCTCTATTTGTAGTTTGTGAACGTTTCGAAGAGTTGTCCTACCTGCTAAATAACGTCCCCTGTACACCAGGGAAACATTCTATTGTTATAAACTAGCCATCCATCAACAATTTTGTGATTAACCCTGCTCTGGTGTCAAATGGTAACCATTTAATGTTTCCTCGGTGTATCGGGAGTGTGATGAGCGTATTAGCATATGGGAAGTACTAAAAACTGTTGACAGACGACAAAATAAACTACACCTATACCTAGTTGTTTGAATAACACGGCGCAGAATTTCATGCGAACGCTACGAAAATATTCTACACGTTTCCAACCCCTGACATTGGAAGATCCATATTTTGATGTTTCTTTTTCAGACTCTAAACATATTTTTAAATAATAGATATTAAGCAAATATTTCATTCTATGGAGGGCAATACCTGTTCATCTTTCAATGATTTTTGCAGCATGTATTGCCCGCAGCCCGGAGGGCGAGGGAAATACATGCTGCAAAAATCATTGAAAGTGCAACAGGTATTGCCCGAACATAGAATGAAATATTTGTTTTATTATATCATTGCTAGACATTCGCTTACTTTGCAGACAGGCACTCTTGTAATATTCCCCATCCTTCGTTCGCAGTTCAAAAAAAACTCTAAAATTCCATCCAGAACGATTTTATCGATAGATTTAACGTCTATTTCGTCCACATAACACTTGAAAATGTTCTAAGACATTAGATGTCATTCCGTTGATTTAATGGTGTTTTTAGAATGCACATCCCTCAAGATGTCGTTCTTTTCATCGGAATTCAGACTTTTAAATCTTTTTCCGTCTGCCATTTTGATGCACGTCACAACTGTACTGGACGAAACGGGACGATTCAGAATTCCCGGGCGGGCAATACGCCGGGCAATACGTCTTTTATTATTCCAAAATTAAGGGAGGTGTGAAATACGCTTTGGTATTTTTGATCACATGGTACTGAATCAGCCAATCAAAGGACACAAATTCTAGCAATGATATAATAATTAATTTTATTTAAACAATTCTTAACCTACAATTTACTCTTATTTTCAGGTTGCTTACTTTGGTGAAGGAAGTAAAATTCTTTCCTTTTTCTCATCTTTGGGTCTAGAATGTTCCATGAACTACAATCCTGCAGATTTTATATGTAAGTTAAAAAATGGCAAGTTCAAATGTAGCGTTTATTACATTTCAGATTCTATTTCTTGTGAATGCTGTCGTATATCAATTGTTATACATCAAATTCATTATGTATTATTCCAGTAGAAAAAGTCAGCGATGAAAAGGAAATCCAAGATACAATTATTGAAGCTGCCAACAAATTGAGGTAGGTGTAGAAAATGAAAGAGTAATTGCTACTGTGTGATTTGGTATATTGGCCTAGTCAGAGGCCAAAATAATTCTGTGGAAATTGTATGTAAGTTTTAATCCTTTTATCTGTGTTTCAGGGATTCAGAAGACTGGCCTGTAGAACTCCATCATAATTACATGTCTAAACAGCCACGCATGGGTGATAACAAATCAAATGGGCACATCAATAAAGCATACAACATTGATGAAGTCAAACTTACAATGGAAGCTACAACTGAGATGGACTCTATAAAAGAGATTCAAAATACCGAACAAGGTAATGTAATAGTAACGAATGACAATAATCTTTTTGAAAGTGGGGGCATGTTTCACATTGTTTCTTTGTCCATTTTAGACAAATGTCTATAACTGTATTCTGATTGGTTGAGAAATTTAAAGAGAGATCGGTCATGTTTGAATAATATATAATGCATGTAAATGAATAAGATGCAACGTTGACTGATATCAAAACTGCAAAACTCGTTCTTTAATTTTTCACAAATAGAAAAGATGCTTTAAATGCAATTAAATTCGATTAAAACAGACTGAGGTATAAGTAATTGAATTACCAATTAATCATACATTTCAGATGGCAGAATGCATGCACTGGGAGGGGAAGAGAATTACTTGATGGATGACGACAAAAAATGGATGACGTCATGGTGGACACAATACAGTGTATTAACACAACGTAATCTTTACCAGGCTAAAGACAGAATTCTTTCCAAGTTCAATATTATCCAAACGTTGTTCCTTGCTGTTCTCGCCAGTTTATTCTGGTTCCAGATCGAACGCACGGAGGTTACATTAAGAGACAGGATTGGTTTAGTAAGTCTATTGCGCATAACAGGCGTTGTAGTGACGGGACACTGGGACACTTTGTATCATTCTTAGTGCAGAGATACTTTAGATCACATAGACGAACCTTTTGCAGCATACCAAAAGGAATTTAATGGGCTTTAATAATAAGGTTTATTTATAGGTCACATATTGTGATTTTTGTAGAAATTATGATAATTCTAAATTGTTATGTCACAATTCACTACGAAAATATTTTCCTCGTTAATAATGAAGAGATCTGTAAAAGAAGATGTCCAATATGTCCACGTTTACCAGTAATAGAAGCTGTCAATTTAAAACATCCATAATTTTTACTAATTATGACATCCTCAAACTTTAGCTTTTCATGAGTAATTTTATCCTCAACTTGTCTTAATTTACAGATTTTTAATCAGTTTATATTAATGAACTAGTCCATTTTATGCACAAAACCTGATAATCAGGCTTTTTTCTAGAATTCGTTACATTACAATGTAAATATTCCAAAAGCACATTGAAACGTCACAATATTGATATAATATTCAGAAGAATGCGTTTTTAGCTTCACGGAAAAAATGAAATTCTGGTGAGATTGGAGTAAAAAATGAATTATTTGTAAAAAAAACTAATGAATTTTATCTAGAATGATAGAAATTCACAAATTCTTTACAATTTCATTAACTGTATTTGGCGACCATACGCTACATTTGACTTTTTATACATGCATTCACAAATGCTAAAACTTTAATACTAGTTAATTTTCATAACATTTGATCTTTTTCATATTTTCAACTGTATATACAACTCTACAAAGCATATATTCTATTATACAAAATTGTATCTTCTATTTGTAGATTTTCTTCACATCGATCTACTTTGGTTTCTTTTCTATCATCGATGCAATCACTGGATGTACGTACAAAAAAAGTGTTATAATACTAATCTCAAAGTTGTATTTAAAAAAGATTCCTAAATTGTACTACATTATTGTGCAATATTTACTTCCTTCACTCTGATGCAGAATAGAAACCAGTAAGAAAGCATTGCTAACAACAAAACTGGCTATATATTATTGTGTAATTTTGCTAATTCGTTTTATTTTAGTCCCAGAGGACCGAGCAATCCTGAGCAAGGAACGATCAAGTGGGGCTTACAGACTCTCGGCATATTTTTTTGCAAAAATGACTAGTGAAGCACCGTTGTTGATTGCTCAGCCAATTGTGTTTGTAACCATTGTTTTCTGGGTGGCCGGACTAAATGGTGTTACTGGCTACTTTGGTTGTTTAGCGGTCGTCATCCTTGGGGCACTGGCAGCTCAGGTAACGAATATTGCACATTTTATTTAGTATTGTTTTAATACGAGACACAATGGCGTTGCAATAAGTGTCACATTTGGTTTAAAACTTGTAATTTGCAGTATTGACTTTCTACTCGTACCAGAAATCCTCCGAGAAAGTTGTGATATAATACCTGTTTTATATAAAAGAAATACGGGATGAGCCAAAAATGTAACCCAAGCAAATGTTGATCACTCAGTCATTTAGCATGGATTTAAGCCCATCATTTAAGGTCTTATTTGGCACAATTAAACCGTGTTCAATGTTCCTTCAATCCATCAAGTTTTATTGGTCTATTCTAAATGGTAGAAACATGCTCAAACTGCTTGTCTGGTCTAGAGGCATTGAACCCATCGTTATAAGTCGTTCGAACGCTCACAAATATATTGTGTATGGCTTGTGTATCTTCCTTGTAGGCCTAATCTCTTATTGCTCAACTCTCTGATGCTTCTAACGTTATTAGGGTAGGCGTTATCTTTGTAATAGTCCCAAATATAAAAGCCGTTAACGTTGGGAACTTGGCATGTTTCGGTATTTGGAGCACATTTTGTAAAAAAGCCCAATCAAACTTTGTGAAATCAAAGGACATAGACTATGTTCATTTGTGTTAAATATGACTACAGGTATCCATGGCAACGTGTTAAAACTATATCAATCGATGTACAGTAAACTTCAATGCTGTGTTAAATGCGAGATAAATGTAAATATAGAGCAAGATATCCATACTATTAAACATGTAAAAGGAATTACAATTTTTTTTCCATGTACAAAGGGTATATTTCAAGGAGATTCACTCAGCCCAACGTGGTTCATTATGTATGTAAACTCATTTTTTAACATGCCGAGGGAACAAAACTGCCAAGGAATCCATATTGTAGAAGGTTCCCCTAATATAATGGCATTGTGTTATGTGGATGACTTAAATTGTATAGGTAACACTGTACCACATGTGCAAAAACAACTTGATACCTTAGGTAGCTTTTCACGTAAATGGGGAATGAAAGTAAATTTATCCAAAACAAATGTGATGGTGTTCAGGAATGGTGGTCCCCTCAGGCAAAATGAAAAATTTTATTTTGAAGGAGCAGAGATAGAACAAATATCATATTATAAATATCTAGGTATACTATTTTCCACAAGACTCTCCTGGTCTCCAGCTAAAAGTCAGCTTGCTTCACAAGCAAAGAAATCGATTATTTTACTCAAACAACTTAACCAAAAGTGTGGAAGAATACCACTTAAACTTATGTTCTCTCTGTTTGATGCCATGGTAACACCCATCTTGTGCTATGGTTCAGAGATGTAGGGATATGAATGGTGTAATGTAATTGAATGTACACAAGCTCAATTTTGTAAATATTATATAGGTGTGGGACCACAATCAAATGATGCAGCAGCATTAGGCGAATGTGGCAGACTTCCACTTTGTACCACTTAGATGCTTAAAACCATAAAATACTGGATAAAATTAACAGAAATGCCTAATCATAGACATCCTAAATCATGCTATACAATGCTTTATCAACTGAATCAATCGGGAAAAACAACTTGGGCATCAAAAATCAAATATTTGCTTTTTTCACTGGGATTTGGACATGCATGGTTTGAGCAAAGTGTAGGGAACCAATTATATTTTATTTTTATATTTAAGCAAAGACTTCAGGATATGTACAGCCAAGCTTGGCTAGGGAAACTCAGGGAAAGACCCAAATTATATACATATATGCAATTTAAAAATATTTTAGAGCCTGAATTTTATTTATTATGTAATTTAGAATATAGATGTATTAAAGCTCTAGCAAAATTTAGAGTTTCGAACCACTGTTTTGAAATTGAAACCGGAAGACACCGTAATATTGTAAGAGACAATAGAATGTGTAAATATTGTAGCATAATAATAGAGGATGAGTACCATGTAATGTGTAAGTGTCCTAGATACCATAATATTAGATTAAGTCTTGACATTACCTTTGTAGAAAACTACAGCACAGATCAATTCATCCAATTGATGAAAACAAAAAATGCTATCCTCCTAAAGAAGTTATCACTATTAATTATTGAAGCAACCAATATTAAACTATTGTAAACATACTATGTACACAATGGGCCAGAGGCCTTATATGAAATAAAATCTTATTATTATTATTTCTAAATATGACACGAACCCATGCTGAGTAATAGAGTAAACATTTGTTTCGATTACGCTTTTTGCTCACCCACTAACAGTTCGATATTTTTTATTTTTTAGGGGGTTGGCCTTGCTATTGGTGTATCATTTAAAATCATTAAGATGGCCCTAGTTGCTGGAACTATATTTATGCTCTTCAGTTTGTTGTCAGGCGAGTTAACATTTGTTTCTAATATGAAATGCTTTTATATTCAACTGAGCTAATTAGATCAGATCAATCAAGAATAGATCAAGGTGATTTTCCGTAAAGAAAACTAACAATCACTCCTTGCAAACTAAGATTTTATCCTGTGTATTATTTCGTGTTTTAGGTGGTTTTTATACAGTAAATCTCCCATTTTGGATCAACTGGATCAAGTATCTCTCATTTGTGCTCTACGTCTACAACATCCAGATTACTTATGAGTTCACAAATGCTGCTCCTATCTTGTAAGTAACTTTGAGGCCATTTCATATTTACATTTACAAAATCCATATAATACAAATATAGAATTATTGTTTATCCGAGTGGGTCTATAATATGTGATTTAATTTAGGATACATACTGTATTCAGCTTATTCAACATTTTGATCTTTTCAGTTGTTCAAGAGGAAATCTGACTTCATTTTCTGAGTGCCTTAACCCCAATGTGACTAGCATAGACCAATCGGCGTATCTGCAGTCTATCAGTATAGGTTGGCCTCTTTGGGCAATGCACCTAGCTCTGTTTGGCATCCTATTAGTAAGCAGGACTACTGCATATTTCATACTGAGATTTAAATCAACAAGAATAGGATGATTAACTTTCACTGGTTATGATTGGTGTGATTTGCTTAATTCAGTGATGTATTTGCACTGGGGTGATATACTTTTACCAATTATATGGTGATGTACTTGTACCAATTATATGGTGATGTTCTTGTACCAGTGATGTTCTTGTACCAATTATATGGTGATGTACTTGTACCAGTGATGTACTTGTACCAATTATATGGTGATGTACTTCTACCAGTGATGCACTTGTACCAATTATATGGTGATGTACTTGTACCAATTATATGGTGATGTACTTGTACCAGTGATATTCGTGTACCATGGTGATGTACTTGTATCAGTGATGTTCTTGTACCAATTATATGGTGATGTACTTCTACCAGTGATGTACTTGTACCAATTATATGGTGATGTACTTGTACCAGTGATGTACGTGTACCAATTATATGGTGATGTACTTCTACCAGTGATGCACTTGTACCAATTATATGTTGTTGTACGTGTACCAGTGATGTACTTGTACCAGTCTGTACTTTCATATGATATGGGACGATGTGTCTATCTAAATTAATAGACGGTTGCAAGTAGTTCTGGCATAAATTGACAAGGACGATATATTCATTAATATCTACAGCTGCGCAATATAAATCTAGAAATAAATAACTGAAAGGACGAAACTGTGCTCTACCAGCATGCTCTTGCCATAAGATCTTAAGAAAAGTAATGGTTCAATGACATAATAAAATGTAGCAAGGGGGGTCGAGCGAACCCTCCACACCCTCCCCTGTCCAATAATTCTTTAAAAACCATGCAGATTTTCACCATTCTGAGCACTTTTTAAGTGATTTTGGCCTTTTTTGGACCAAAATTGTCACAAGTGAACCCCCCCTGGAATTTTTCAAAAAGTGACCCCCCCTGGTAAATCCTGGATACAGGCCTGAATGAGTAGTTTTTTATAGGTAAGAGACGAATAAAGATGTATAAATACGTGAATTAACGTATAAAAATGTAATTTAATATATAAATAGAGCAAAGAAACGTGTGTTTCTGTATTTTCATTAACTAATATTGAATTTTTCAGTTTAGCTGAAAATCCAATACCCTGCATTCTGATACTCATAGCCAAAGTGATAGCATCTTTGTTTGAATTTTTGTTTGAGTTTATAGCTTACATATTTAAAAACATATCGTCTCATTTCTCAGTTTTTGGAGATCACTATCATGATAAAAGGCTATATATTGTGAAAAAAACGAGTTGACTCGCTGACATTTGGAATTGCAATTTCCAACATAATTGTCGACTCACGTTTAAAAAGTAATGAAAACAAGGTTGAACATGAAACATTGGCCCGGTTACTGTTTATTTTTCATGGGATCACTCAGGAAAAATATTATTAATGACTTAAATCGTTACGTTGTATACCAAGAAACTTACCAATTTAGAAATGCAAAATGTTCAATTTTGTTGTTCAATTATAAAAAAGGCACCTGTAGAACAACGTTTACAAAATTATTTAAATTATTTATTTATTTATTTTAATTTTATTATAGTGTCATGAGTTAAAATACAATTACATATTTAAAACAATAGTACACTGTTAAAATCACCCCAGGCCCCCTATGGGCCTATAAGACACTTTTGTAAAAACATGTTAATCAGGTTTTGTAAATAAAATGTTCCCGTCGCTTAAGCATCCGGTCACAGGCTTTTGCTGTGAAAATACAAATTCTGTCATTAGACATTAAACACTGAAATTTACTCTCTTCATCTAAATTCATGAAACCAGTTACAATAGTAGAAACGTTTGCATACAAGTCTAAACGGATGTCTTCATAACGAGAACAGTTCAGAATTCGAATTACATGTCTTTCGTGTTCAATTGCAATATCACATAAGGGACACACCCTTTCATCAACTGGCAGCCTTTCATACCGACCAGTTTCTATTCTTATTGGTGCTACACTACATCTTATTGAGGCAAATGCCTTTCTTTGAGAGATAGAAAGCGTTGATGTAACATATCTTTCTGTTTTTATGTCATGTTTATAGGTTCTAAAAGTTCTGAGTTTGTTTCCTTGACCTTGTTGCCGCTTTGAATCGTCCCAGAGTCTTGTTTGCCAGTTGTTCTGCATTTGACGTTCCAGAGGTGACACAATCGCCGACACCGGGTCGTCATCATTAACCTGGAGAGAATCGTAAACCTGCCTCAGGTGGTATAAGGTGTTTTTCTTTCCACTGTTAGCACGTAAAACATTCCAATGGTAAATACGGTTGGTCAACCTATTGTGGCTAAGGGACTGAAGTCGCAAGTTAAACTTATGGTTTTTCTTCATCTGTTTTTCAAATGGTGAGGTCCACCCCATCTCGCCCTGGACAGCAAGGTTGGGTGTATACCTGCCTAATCCAAGAAATGCTCTACAGGCTCGGTGAAAAACAGTATTAATACATGCATACTCCTTAAAGCCCCAGACTTCTGCACCGTATTCCAAAATTGGTGTGACTAAACTATCGTAGAGTCTTGTAAAGCACTTAAATGGCATACCACCATTTGCCTTGTACTTGGCAATTACTAGACCTAGAGCGCGACTTGCTGCCTGTGCGATAGAGGTAGCCATCTGGGTAAAGTCTAAATGCTCGTTGAACCAAAGGCCAAGATACTTGTATTTGTCTGATACGTTGATAGCATTGTCGTTATACATAAAGTTAAACTGTGATCGTTGCACAGATTTAGGACGGAAATGGACTACATTGGTTTTTGTGATGTTAACTGTCATTCTCCATTTGCTACACCATCTTGCTAAAGTGTCTAACATTTGCTGTATGGATTCCTCGGAGTCACCGATAAGTGCAATGTCATCCGCATAGAGAAGTATTGACACTTTTTCACCATTAACATCTACCCCAAGGTCGAGGGATTTAATATCATCCACAATGTCATTGATGTACAGATTGAAGAGCGAGCACGAAGCCAAACAGCCCTGTTTTAATCCAGTCTTAACATCAAAGAACCCAGATAATCTTCCGTTTATGTTCACACAACTCTTAACATTCCTATATAGGGCCTTCAGGGCACCCATAAACTGTCCAGAAATACCCAGTTGGCTAAGTTTGTACCACAGCAACTGCCTATCGATTTTGTCATATGCACGTTGGGCGTCGACGAAACAAACAAAAGTACTCTTTTTATCCTTAAGCCTGTTGTCAATGATTGATGATAGCGAGTACATATGGTCCTGGCAACTTTTACCTTTTAGGAAACCATTCTGTTCGTCATGAACCAAGTTGTTTTCTGCACAGAATTTGGTTAAACGAGTGTTAAGAATCCAACTATACAGCTTACATACTGAAGATGTCACAGTTATACCCCTGTATGTTAAGGGCTTCATAGGGTCACTACTTGCACCCTTGGAGATAGGGTGTACAATACATTTGTTCCATTCTGAAGGCACTATTTTGTTAGTGAAACAAAACTTGAAGAGAGACGCAAAGAATTTAACAGATTGACCATTAACCAGTAATTCCATTTGTATCCGATCAAAACTAGCGGCTTTCCCAAGTTTTGCTGCTTGTAACGCTGCTTGTACTTCGTTAGTGGAAATGCCATCATTCAGCAAAGTTGTATCAATGTTCGGATTATTTAAAGGGACACTATCGGTCCTCATTTGTTGGACTGCTTCGCCATAGAAATTATTATCAAAGTTCCCAGAATAATCAACCGAGTGTAGAGATTCGAAATCGGTCCTCCATTTATCAAGTACATCTTCCTCATTGGTTATGATTTCACCGTTTTCTCCATACACTTGCAAAGGTATAGATTGTTTTTTTTCACTGTTAATTCCGATTTGCCCGATCTTCTTCCAAAAGGCCCTCGGATCCTGGGTTACATTTTTAATCATTTCCTGGTGTTGATTATATAGATATCGCCTTTTTTCTCGTCGTTTTACTATGTCAAATTGTTTCCTTTTAGTTACATACTCATGTTTTAGTGTTCGTTTTTGCTGGGAATTGGGAGGAGCTCGAAGCCATTTTCTCTCAGCTTCGTTATACGCTGTCCACAGATTGGTCAGTTCATCCGTCCAAAAAGGCTTATTTGGCTTAAAATACTTCCTAGCTCCGCCTACTCCTGGCGAAATATCCTTGTAATTTAGCTTAGAATTCATTTCATTGGTCAGAACCTCACAATAGTTACTGTATACATTATCCAGTGACAGCTGTGTTTTTTCCGCATGATCTATTTGTTGTAACAAATTATTGATTTTACTTATCACAGAATCTGAGCACATGAAACTAGCGGGAATATCATTTACGTCATATTTACGGTAAGTTTTGTCGTGCTTTGATTGGCTACCAGTTTGACTACTCGGGTTAATACCTTCACTCACAACATTGCTATTAACTTTGAATTTCCAACAAAGCAGAGAATGGTCTGGAAGTTGAACATCGGAATTAATTCCCATTGACTCACATTGTTTTGACATTGTTAAAACTTTGAACTCACTGTACAATGGCAACGACGTGTAAGGAACAATGCAATAATCAACAACTGAATGTCCTAACGTAGAAATATAAGTAAAGTCATTGTTTACGAAGTTGCGCCCATTTAGTATGCAACAGTTCGTATCCTGCAAGAAATTAATTAATTTGGCACCATATGCATTTTCATTAAAGTCTACCACATTATGCCTGGGTCACATTTGCTCCGATCCATCGGCCGGCGCCCGGCCGATTGAGTGTTTTGCTCAATATTGTATTCAATTTTGAACAAAATACTCAATCGGCCGGGCGCCGTAGTGAAAATCGGAGCAAATGTGACCAAGGCATTACGGTCACACAAATCATCAACCCCAACAATAAAATCAGGGTTGTTACCAGTTCTAGAATTACAATCCGTACAAATATAAAATTCACCAATATTTTGGTACATATAAATTTGAGTGAGGAGATTATCGTAAAAACTTTCAGGATTACTTCTGATACATCCCTCTGGCGGCAAATAAGCGACACAAGTACAAAAAGAATTTTGCATGTTTAAAACAGAGAAATTTACTTAAAATATTCGTTGGCATGTGTGTATCAGTGAGTAAATAAGAAGAATATGCTTTCTATTCTAGATCTTGTCACCAAATGGATTCGAGATGTACTCAAAATCAATACGTTAAATATGTATTATCATCTTAATAACCACCTCACAAATTATTTTGGAAATCGAAGATGTACGATTTTTGAGATTTTTATTTTCGAATGTTGACTTAGTTACTCGACCTGACTGATTGGGCTATTGGAAGAAGGTGTGGCAGGTGTCACGTGCATAGACTGTAAAGTGTTCATGAACACTTGCTCACAAGAGTACATCATACCCTCCAAATTGCCACCACTTTGCAATTTCTGGTGGACAAATGATTAAATCTCCGCTCTTGGGATAACTTCAAAAGAAAAATCACAACGATTCGGGTCAGGAGAACTTTCATAATCATTAGCACTTTTCCTTTGTACTCCGGCACTTTTGCAATATCTGAAACTTGGCCCAGAGCCGATTTTAGCCAGCTGTGCAAAAGGAATGATTTTTCACCCAACCATCGCCAGATGGGAATGAATGACATACCATTTCAAAGAGGAGGGAAGTGACTTTATGGTACATTGAATTAAATTGATGTAGTCATCACTGGTTTTGTGGTTTTACGAGATAACTGTTTGTTGCGTTTTTTGATACGCCCTGTATATAGGCTGTTGTCAGGGGAAAAAAATAAAACCGTACTTTTCAGCATTTATAATCTCAAATTGTATGTGAAACAACCAAAATCCATTTCAAAGTTCGTTAGGATATTTAAACGTTAAAAAACGATAACATTCATCCGCAAAGCCGACGCGCACATCATGTGATCGGTACATGGAATTGTGCGCCATCACTATGTTTTATTACTGAGTAGCTGAAACGGTACCGAAGTTTTTGTACCCTATCATATATTTTTGTATCCTCTGAAAATTAAAAAAAAGGTTTTCCGACTTGTTCCATTAAAGAACAACCATGTATTTACACTGAAAAAATGTCAAAACTGTCCATGAATCAACACGAATGTAATGTTCCTCATCCCGGCAATTACAATTCAAACCTAGAAATTACAAAAGTGGCAAAAAGTCACTTGATTGAAAAGTGCTCAGGACGTTGAAAAAGAATGTGTATTATATGCCTTTAAACATGTGTGGAAAGCCTCATTAAGGTTACTCGCGCGCTATTTACTAAAAGTTAAGGGGCCTCACTAGTTTTTTTGTAATGTACCAATGGCACCATTTGGTACATTACTTGGCCTTTTTGGGGCCTTGAAATTATCAAAAATGGGCCTAAAATTTTCAAAATTTGGGTTAACTTGTTTGATTCAGGGAATCAGGGGCCCTTTTTTGAAATGTGTCCCCCCCCCCTTGTCAGCTTCTGAATCCGCCAGCGTATCCATCCAATTTTAAAATGAATTGAAACCATAGTTCTATTTTAATTCTATCACTGTTGAGCTTAAATGGGCTTATCAGCCTTTTGCAGATTGTTGACATATAAGATACATTACTTACTTCGATCGAGAGCCATGAACTATGCAACCGTTAATTCGTTTTTGTATCCGTATATAACACTCAAATCTCGGCAACTAGCGAGATCTCGTCCCAAAGCGGAAGTAGGGAAATTTTACTAATTTCCTAATTTCGAAATGATTTGGACAATTTGTTGCTATTAACTCTTGTCAGACAACATGCCATGATTATTTGGTATGTATATATTTTCATGCTCTATAAGCAGTATTCAGTGACTTGTTTTGATCTAGTTAGTTTACAGTCTGAGACACATGTTCGTGCGAACTCCCGTGCAGTGATATATCACTGCGGCGGGCAGGTGTCTCACCGTAAGCATGGTAACATCGTAATAAACAACTGACGTGATTGGTTCTAGTCCCATGCTCAGGTCGCGTGATTGTAAAATTTAGACAATTTCATTGGTTGAATTGCGCGTATTAACTAATAAACAACACGTGCGGTAAACTTTTATCAACACAACTTTTACTCAGAATTCCTTCCGCGGGGATTTGCTCTTATATTTCATTGATTTTGGAATATTTTGACAAAATAATTATTGGTGAACATAAAAGAACATATATGTTATAAGTTGTGTGAAAAACAAGTACATCTGTGACAAAAAGAGGGACTATCTTCCCCAAATTTTGGGGATTCCATAATCTGCCCGCCTCAGTGTCTATACCGAGACACTGCATAGGAGTTCGATGTTCGTGATGCAGTAAATCACACCCGGGAAATCACATTACGTACTTTGAATTCAAGAAATCAATCAAATGACCATATTGCAACAGTTAATGAAAAATAGAAACATATGTACAAGACCTAACTTTTGTATATTTCAGATAGTTAGGTATAATGTGCAGTAAAGCCTGAAAGCTGTGGCCTTTTGTAATTTCTAGGGAGTCACGGCAGAGAAGCAAGGAGGATTGGCTCCCAGAGGATCGAAACAAAGAAATGTCGTTATTTTCTGAAGTTAAAACCAACAATAAATTCAAAATAAACAGTTCAAAAGATTCGAAATTAACATCTCAATCATTTCTTGTGAGTTTTTCCATGGGCTTTCCCATTGTTTTTCGTAAGGAAATAAGACCAAAATTCATGATTCAAACGTTAAAGTGAACAAAATGGCGGCTGTTTGAATTCAAATTTTGTATCACGACATGCCCATATATTGGACAGAATATCAATGTTGCACTCAATGAGCCAATCCTCCTTGGCAGAGAAGCTTCGAAATATAAGAGGCCACACACATGATAGCCAAACTACAAAACAAACTAAAATATACAAAAGTTAGGTCTTGTACATTTGTTTCTATTTTTCCATATACTGTTTCAATGTGGTCATTTTATTTTTTTATAGAATTTTGAATCAGACTTTACAGTCCCTTACTTTACACAGCTTTGTTAACAGCAACCAGTTAGTTGAACCTAAAAAATAAGAAAAATCATTATTTTCATCGACGATTCTGTTGTTTTTTAAACTATATTTGTTCACAAACATGTACATTTTCTTAAACATATGATGCTGACACATATTTGTGATAAAAATGTCGTGGGAATTCTGCCTACAATGCGTTAAATCATGGGCCCATGGTTAAATAAGGAAAAAAAAGTGTACCTGCAAGTTCCGACATTTTGTTACAGAAATGGTCCGTTTCGGAAACCAGTGTAATCATGTGGAATACCAATGACCTAACTTTCTGGAATATACAAAAGTTACTCACCTTGTACATGTGTTTCCGTTTTTTTCATATGGTATTAATGTTGCAATGTGGGGCTCTGATTGCTTATTTTTGATGGAATGGAATTATCTGACTTAAGAAAATTACCCCCCCTCACTTCTCTTTCAGTTTCTGTGTTCAAGGGAAATTCTCTCTTCTGTCATCACTCCAAAGGACTCTCGCAACTTTCAGAATCTGAACATTTGGATTGCTTGTTCATTTCTAGATTCCTGATGTCGTAGATTGACTTGCTGCATCATGCCGATTACAATGCAGCAATTCGTACGTGGCCTCCGTAGCCGTAATGAAGCTACTCGACAGAAGACTGCTAAAGACCTTAACCATTATGTGAGCACAGAGTTACGTGAGGTCTCCATCGAAGACCTGACTTCATTTATGGATGACTTCAATCACCAGATATTTGAGATGGTCTCAAGTCCTGATGTCAATGAGAGAAAAGGAGGAATAATGGCCATAGGTATTACATCGATGATAATTTCACTTCATTATGTTTATCTAAATTCTGACGATTCTTAGAATCGTTTATATCTCTTTCATGATATGTAAAAATAAGTTAAGTAAATGACTAAAAAGCAAACTGATGTAAATCATTTCTGTACATTTTGGCTAATTTGAATTAGATTGTAGGCGGAAAAGTAAAGCTTTTGAAAATTGAAATATATCCTTAAAGTAAAAGAACATCATTTAATAGTACATGGCTTTAACTGTACATTAGAATTCCAGGTGTAACTTCTGTTGTGTTAGGTATATATATTCACTTCTAAAATAACTATGATTGGTTTTCAGTAAGTTTAATTGGTGTGGATGTAGGGAACTCTAACACTCGAATTACTAGGTTCGCAAACTATCTTCGTAACTTGCTTCCTTCCAATGACACCGTTGTCATGGAAATGGCTTCAAAGGCTGTTGGTAAGCTTGCTCTGGCATCTGGGACATACACTGCTGAGTATGTGGAGTTTGAAGTAAAGAGGGCGCTGGAGTGGCTCACAGGGGACCGCAACGAGGGACGAAGACAAGCTGCTGTAAGTATTGAAGAATTCCAAGAATCACATTATACAGCTAAAAAAATTTTAAAGTAATATATGCCTTGTCAGATATGTTTAGAATTCGAAAAGGGATCACATTTTATAAGTTTATTAAAAAGCAAGAACATACATATTGAGTTTGATGATCTGATAATTTTATTTGGCTGTAATAATGGAATCAGACTAAGTTCATTAAAGAGTGATAATGAATACAGTTTGTCATTAGAAATCGTGAAATTTTTATGATTTCAATTTGGAAAATTTCAAACAAAATGATGATCTGCTTATGTAGTGCATTAGTATCATTATTGTTGTTTGTTTGTTTTAGGTTCTAGTGTTAAAGGAGCTCGCTGTAAATACACCTACATTTTTCTTTCAACAAGTTCAGCAGTTCTTTGATTGTATATTCAATGCTGTAAGAGACCCAAAACCCCTTATAAGGGAAGGAGCAGTCGCAGCTCTGAGGGCTGCCCTAGTTGTGACATCACAGAGAGAAACCAAGGAATCGCAGAGACCCACGTGGTACAAGGTGAGATTTACAAGAGATGTCAGGTTTTATACAACAGGGTGTTGATTGTTACTTCAGTTTCATTTCTATTTATGTTGCCAATTTGTGATTTTATTTTACATGGCTAATAACGCTGAATTCAACTTACTGGCCCTGTCATACATTTGATAACCATTATGAATACTGTAAAAAAGAAACAATATAAACAAGAAAATTCAATTTCCATCTAGTTGAGAATTTTAAAAATTCTCAAAATGAAAACAATTGTTTGGCATTTAACTATTTATCAAAATTCAGAAATACTTAATTTGATATTCCAGCAATGTTACGAAGAGATGCAGAAGGGCTTTGACGAGAATCTGATTCGAGAGAAACGAGTAAATCGTGAAGATTGGTCACATGGTTCACTTCTAATCATCAATGAGTTACTAAGATGCAGCAACGTTGATGGCGAGAAGTTGCGACAAGACATGGAAGAAATCTCTGTGCAGCAACACCAGCATGAAAAAAGCCACAAGGTCAGATTTTAAATTTGTATTTTCATATTTGGCTCCTTTCCTTACTGCATTATTTTAGTTTGATAGTGACAAACAATTTATTTGTATTGTATATATTTCTTAGTCTATGCCTTCTTTTCTTCTCTAACCAGTGTTAAATTATAGGTATCATAGAAAACTAATAACTGTAAGGTTCAAATTGATATTCACCTTAAATTTTCCTTCCATGCCAGTTCTAATAGTTGTGTATCTATGAGTTAAAGAGTTAGTGACATATTTACAGAATGTGCACACAAAATCAACGAAGCATTTACTGCACAACTTGAAGCAGGTCCAACAACAACATCCTTCTCCTTTGATACCAGGAGGTAATGCTGGTCTTGGGTCAACACTCATCAGTTCCCACCAGAAGGCACTCTTCTACGAAAGCAGAACATGTAAAAAGTTGATGGAGGATAAATTCAGCGAGGTGATTACATTTAAATGATTATACATGTGTATGATTTAGTATGCGAGATTTAAAATAAATATTCCAAAAATATTAAAATATTATTAAAATATTCAAAAAATGGTTTATATTTAGATTGCTTGTTATGTAGGAAATTGTCGAACAGATGATATTTTTGCTATTCTATAGTTAAATTGATTCAAGTCAAATTTCCCAAACGATTGATCAATCATTGTTACTGCCTGCCTCATTTTGAGTCAAGTAGCAAAAAACTATGAACCGTCAAATATGGCAACAAATCTCATGGTTCAAAAACTCTATTCCATGCTTATTTCCTACACTATGATGATCACATCATATGAATACCTACCGAGTAAAACTATATGTTTATCATATGCATTATGTTTAACATTCTGATTGTAGATATGTAAGCTTGTTCTCCGCCATAGAAACACCAGAAACTCATTTATCCAGCAGTCTCTATTAGCAGTATTGCCCCGTCTTGCTGCCTTTCAACCACAGGTCTTTGTCAAAAGGTAGGTTGGCTATACCAATAAACTTACATAATGTCCTTGTATAAAAGGATTTACATCTCCATTCCGTTTTATTCAGGTTTAACTCTTCTATCAAACTATCTTTGCAGAGAATCATCAACTTATTTAATATGGGAAAGTTGTCATTGAGATATTAGAAAAACAAAACATAAATCTTCACTGGTTGTCTATTTGAAAGCACAACCAGGGAATATTGCTTGATCTTGATACATGTGACTCATTATAATGACCAATCAAATGATTGCAAACTTAACTGATATAGAATATTGTTAAATATTCCCCACTGCAATATTTACAGCTATCTTGGTGAGACAATGGCCTACCTACTTGGCTGCCTAAAGAGAGAGCGAGAGAGATCAGTGGCCTTCCAGGCTATTGGGCTAATTGCTGTATCGGTGCATACTGACATCAACAGACATCTGCCAAAGATTATGGAGGTCATCAAGGTGTCCTTACCAGCCAAGGATATGCCAACTAAGTAAGTTAAGACTACCTATAAATACTTATGTACAATGTTTGATCTGTCATTGGCTGACTCATATTCAGTTAGATTGATGTTTTCCTGCCAAAACTGTGCTTCTACCTATGACACCAAAACAGTATGCAGGATGGACCCAACGTGTGTAGCAAATTAGGATTGATGAAAGATTATGGTTCATTTTTGAATACTTGGATGTCATAATTCTTGCTTTCATTTATAAGTGCAGTTAACCAATCACACTTGAAATATAAATGAGATCAAAAATAACACATATTATAAAGTACTATTTATTCAAAGCCATATGACAATTATTATTAATGTATTACACATGTTTATCTATCGTGATTCTATATGTTTCGATCCTTGTTTTTATTATTTTATAGACGTCATAAAAGTTTTGTTGTTGACCCAGCAGTGTTTACATGTATCAGCATGTTGGCCAAAGCAGTGGGGCCAGCCATTACAGTGGATGTGAAAGCACTGCTAGAACCCATGTTAGCAGTGGGCCTTAGGTATGCCATAAGTATTACGATTTAACTACAGTACCTGTATAATCGAATACCTCTATAATCTGAACAGCTCTCATTGTGAATTTTTTGTTCCCATTTTTTAATCTTCCATAGACCATGTAGGCACCTGTGTTAAAAAAAACTTGAAACTACCAATCTAAACACTTTGACCAGTCCAACGGACATTTAAATGAGACATGTTTTACCATAAATTACAACTGTGGAGTAGGCCTTATAATATAATGTATCTGTAACTGTAACATTTTAGTGAAGTAGTAGTCATGCCTGCCTCATGTCTGACTACACTCGTAGTATGTGGAAGTTATAGCACAAGTCTTACCATTACTGTTTTGTTACTTTCAGCCCTGCCCTTACTGCAGCACTAAGAGACCTTGCCACCCAGATTCCTCAGCTGAAGAAGGACATACAAGATGGCCTGTTAAAGATGCTCTCTCTAGTGCTTATGGGAAGACCCCTCCGTCATCCAGGGGCCCCCAAAGTGACCACGCCAGCTCTGCCTGCCTCCTCATCAAGTGTTAATCTTGCTGAGGCTCAAGATGTCATGGGAATAACTTTAGCACTGAGAACACTTGGTAGTTTTGACTTTGAAGGTAACATCCTCTGTATTATGGAAAAGGTGCAAATATGCCTTGTTGATCATATCTTACTATACTGCTGATCTGTCTTTTATGTGTAGTTTCAAATCTGTAGAAAATACAATATTACTAAGAGAGGTGTGTTATAAATAAGATATAAATAGATCATTTATATAATAGATAATCATGGGGGTGCAGTAAACCTGTTGATACAAACACCACAGGATCAGCAAAAAAGTGGTCAGGATGACAGATATTCCTTTTCAAGGTTTTTAACATGGTAGTGTTCACATTGAGAGGTGCTCATATTAGAGGAGTGTTCAGAAATACACATTTTACTGTTTTATTGCAGGGCATTCTTTAACTCAGTTCGTAAGACATTGTGCTGAACATTTCCTCTCAAGTGAACACAAAGATATCAGACTGGAAGCAGTTAGGACATGTTCAAGGTTATTGATGCCTTCATTGGGAGTAAGGGTGCGTACTGTTTTTATCATATATCCCATCTTTTTATATTCATCCCCTGTGTTCACAATCTCCTTGATGTTTGATTATTGATAATTGTATAATGCAGTTCATTAATAGGAAATCTTTCAACAGATAGCTGATAGCTCTAGAAATGCAGGATGGAATCTTTATATGGCAACATTTTTGAATTAGGTTACATCTAGGGGGAGGGGGGTTGTAAAGGTCAACATTTAAAATGTGAAATTAAAACATTTTTAAGAGATTTCGGAGAAGCTGTTAACATAAACCTAATTTTGCTGCAACTGTTGACATTTAAACATACGGCATAATTATAAAATAAATTGTAATCTTGTTTAGGTTCTCTCTAACCACCAGTCCAACAATGTCAGTCTCAGTGCCCTCTCCACAGTAGCTGATGTCTTGGGGAAGCTGCTTATTGTAGGCATCACTGATGCAGGTACAGTATAGTGCAGTCAGAATGTGGGTTTCGGCGTGCGTTCAGAGGGATTTCATGGGACATAATTTTTCATGTTACTACTATGATTATACATATTTGCATGGATTATTAGATCTTAGTTTTTCAGCTTTTAGATTTTGTGGCCATTTTACCCCCCATGGGCTAAAATTTGGACCCCTACTATAAAATTGGGCAAGAACTCAAAAAATACTCAGTGGAATGTTTCCAAATTACTAGGTTATATTGGTATAGGCTAACCAAATATATGATAAAAATTTCATGTCACATGGTTAAGTGGTTGCCATGGAAATGGATAAAACATGCCCTTCGGGTGTCAATTTTCAGGCCAATTTTTCAGGACTGACAGAGTCATTTCATGCATATTTTGTCACCAATGTGTTAGGAAGGGTTAAAATGTAAATAGAAAACTTCTATAATATATTAGCAACAATTGTATGTAAAGATCAGTCCACAAAACCTCAGATTTTGGCCTTGTATTGGTCCATGACTAATACAGGGGTCTATTTCATAGACTCGAGCTCCCACATTGGATGGATGCTATAACTTTTGAAATAATGGAGATACAGGTCTCATTTTTTCAGATCTTCATAAATGGTTAGTTTTAAGTATTTTATCTTACTTTGGGAGCTGACATGTGATTGGTTGCCATGGTAACCAGGGTTTTAGGGAAATTCTGACCCCCACATTGGATGGATGCTATAACTTTTGAAATAAGGGAGATACAGGTCTCATTTTTTCAGATCTTCATAAATGGTTTGTTTTAAGTATTTTAATATATGTTTGGAGCTGGTATATGATTGGTTGCCATGGTAACCAGGGTTTTAAGGAAATCCTGACCCCGACGTTGGATGGATGTTATAACTTTTGAAAGAAGGGAGATTCATGTCTCATTTTTTCAGATTTTTGACAATGATTGATTTAAAGTATTGATTTAGACTTTGGGAGCTGAAATTTGATTGGTTACCATGGAAATCAGGGTTTTGTTGAAATTCAGACCTCCACAATTGATGAACACTATAACTCTTAAATACAGCCAGATAAGATCTAATCTTTTCAGATGTAAGATAATAATAATATGCTGTACTGTATTAGACTTTGGAAGCTAGGATTTATTTGTCTGCCATGGTAACCATGTTTCATTGTCATGGTAACTGCTGTTTTCGTTTTCAGATTCACCTTTATTCTAGATAGGTCAATACATGACATAAAATACCAAATTGCTCAAAGTTACCATTTTATTCTTAATTTGGGGATTCTTTTCTATTTTATATGATTTACATGCTCATGACTCAATAATACTAGAGATGCAAACATTCCTAATTTTTTGTTCTTTTGTACTCATCATTACTGTTTTCATTTTGCACAATTGTCTCTTGATTTAAATATCCACCATTTCTGTTGGAATGAAGGCTTGTCTTGACCATTCTGGAGTTGAGGATCCTCAGGGGATTTAGTCCGTTCATGCAGTATTGGACTTGGCAGAATGGGTTAAGACTGGTCCCTTTGGGTTCACTGTATATAAAATTGGGCTGGGATCCTAGGCTGAACCCTCAAATATCAATATGTTCCCATCCAATCTGTCAAATTTGAATGTATTCCGATATCAACCAAAATAATGCCCAAAGGGTCATACCAAATACCAAAATATAGGACCAGTGCCATACCAAATATCCAGATATGAAAACATGGCCAATCAAAATTTCCCTCGAGAAGAAGGTAGATCATTGAGGAAAACAACCAAAAACAACCTCACATTAAGGATATACTAGATCAATGCCATACATTTACAAAAAGTGATGGGCAACATATTTTTCACGACCATTCCCAAATCTGACCATTGCCATACCTCTCAAGTCATAATTTGGAGAGCATTCTCATACCAGATCCTAAAATTTGGGTCCATTGCCACATCAAATGTCAAAAGTACCCCACCTGAGCTGAGGATCCCCTCGAGGTTTATATACAGTGAACTCCTGGGAGAGGGGGGATAATGTTTCCACTTCCAAATATAAGTTTTATCATCCATCCTCTTCAAATGTTATAATGAGCAATCATTACAAGGTGGAAGAGTTCATCATTTAATACATTGCATTATATTAGCTGCTATGAAAGCAGTGAAGGACCAATCTTGAAAGATGGGAAGAGTTGAAATGTCAACACCTCCATAAGTGAGGGCACTGTTCTGTTTTGGAGAATATCTTATGTGAAACAGGTCATATCATTATCTAATTGATGTAAGTTACAAATATATTTTTGTAATTCTGCTGTACTTTTACTGGTGAACAATTCAACTTTGGATTTTTTTGTGTCAGGAATTTCTATATATATTGATTCCTATTATGATGAAAACAACCTTAAGAACCTCAATTGATGTGAACTCTGTCCCATTAGATGTCAGAAGCTCAACCCAACCCCTGTAGCTGCAAACCTAGGACCAGGTCCTGTGTGAAGCTATATTAGCCTTCAATGCGTTTACTGGATCAGATTCCTCCAGTGCCTTTCTGAACAAAGGAAAAGTAATCAACTGAAGCAGAAGACAAACAATTCTTAAAGTTGTTTTTTTCAATAGGAAACAATATAGGAATTCCTGCTACCATAAAATCGAAAGTTGAATTGTTCACCTGCAAAAATACAGCAAAAATAGAAAAATAACTGCCACTAATAGATTACGAGATGAGCTGTTTCCCATGAGATACAGAACAAAACAGAACAGTGCTGCCCTCACTTGTGAAGGTGTTGACATTTTCTTTCACATTTGAAGAGGGTAAATTATCAAACCTATGTATGGACACATTCCCACCAGCCTAAACCCAGCTCTGCCATTATGCCCAACACTGCATGAATGAACTGTGAATTCCCTGATGAATCTTTAACACAAGAATGGTCAAAAGAATCCTTCTTTGCAATAGAAATTGTTGATATTTTTAATTAAGAGGCAATTGTGGAAGATGAAAACGGTAATGATGAGTAAAAACAAGTTGGGAGTCAGAATATGTGTGAGAACTAGTAGAATGGAATGAAGCTAAACTGTCAGACATACAGGATAAATTGCTGAAATTAAGAGCAAAATGATAATTTTGAGCATTTTGGTATAACATGTTGTGAATTGACCATTCTCAAATGAAGGTAAGAATGAAATAAAAAATTAAGGGTACCATGACGACGAAACATGGTTACCATGGCAATCAAGTAAATGCTAAGCTACAAAGTCTAATTCAATACACAAATCTAATTAATTTTTAAGATCTGAAATGATGATATCTGTATCTGCTTAAATTCAAACGTTAAAGCATTTATCAATTGAGGAGGTCCAAATTTCAATAAAACTCTAGTTACCATGGTAACCAATCAAATTTCAGCTCTCAAAGTCTAATTTAATATTTATAATCAATCATAGTCTAAGATCTGAAATAATGAGACATGTATCTCCCTTATTTCAAAAGTTATAGCATCCATCCAATGTGGGGGTCAGAATTTCCCTAAAACCCTGGTTACCATGGCAACCAATCACATGTCAGCTCCCAAAGTATAACAAAATACTTAAAACTAACCATTTATGAAGATCTGAAAAAATGGGACCTGTATCTCCATTATTTCAAAAGTTATAGCATCCATCCAATGAGGGAGCTCGAGTCTATGAAATAGACCCCTGTATAAGTCATGGACCAATACAAGGCCAAAATCTGAGGTTTTGTGGACTGATCTTTTCATACAATTGTTGCTAATATATTATTATGTCACCACCAAAAGTGGTGACATATTGTTATGGTCTCCGTTTTTTTGCGACGGCGGTTGGTGGTTGGCGTCCGGCGGTTGGCGTCCGGCGTCCGGCGTCTGTAACAATTTCTTACAACTTCCTATAACTTAACAAATACTGTTTAGACTGACTTCAATTTTTTTCAAAATCATCTACATGTTCTCAGAAGTTCAAATCTGACTTTAGATTTGACATTTGACCTTCAATGACCTTCTCAAGGTCAAAAAGGTCTTTTTTCAACTTGCTTCACATTGACTAAATTTTTTTTCAAAATCATCTACATGTTCTCAGAAATTCAAATCTGACTTTAGATTTGACATTTGACCTTCAAATCTGACTTTAGATTTGACATTTGACCTTCAATGACATTCTCAAGGTCAAAAAAGGTCAAAAAGGTCTGTTTTCAACTTGCTTCAAATTGACTAAAAAAAATTTTCAAAATCATCTACGTGTTCTCAGAAATTCAAATCTGACTTAAGATTTGACTTAAGATTTGACATTTGACCTTCAATGACCTTCTCAAGGTCAAAAAAGGTCAAAAAGGTATTTTTTCAACTTGCTTCAAATTGACTAAAAAAAATTTTCAAAATCATCTACGATCTCAGAAATTCAAATCTGACTTTAGATTTGACTTAAGATTTGACATTTGACCTTCAATGACCTTCTCAAAGTCAAAAAAGGTCAAAAAGGTATTTTTTCAACTTGCTTCAAATTGACTAAATTTTTTTTCAAAATCATCTACATGTTCTCGGAAATTCAAATCTGACTTTAGATTTGACATTTGACCTTCAATGACCTTCTCAAGGTCAAAAAAGGTCTTTTTTCAACTTGCTTCAAATTGACTAATTTTTTTTTCAAAATCATCTACATCTTTTCAGAAGTTCAAAGGACGATTCTCGGTTTGGAGAACAGTCTCCTGGGCTAATAATATTTTTCATGAAAAATATAGAAATATTACCCAAATTAAATTATGAATATTCAAAAGAAGACATTTAAATCTACAAGATGTAAAAATAACAACTTGGTCTGAAGCAGGGATAACGCTCAATTAGACCGATTCAATAAAATACAAGTCTCGATTTGAGGAAAGAAGTTCATCAGTGTGCTGCGCTAATATTTTTTTTGCGAAAAATCTAGAAATATTACCCAAATTAAATTATGACTATTCAAAAGAAGACACTCAAATCTATGTTATGTAAAAAAAATCAAATTTGTCCGAAGCAGGGATAATGCTCATTTAGATTGATGAACTTCGTTCTCCAAACCGAGAATCGTCCTTTGACTTTACAAGTTCTCAGAAATTCAAATCTGACTTAAGTTTGAACTCATAATATTGTGAGCAACTAGGTGGTGACATTTTGTCATGTTAATGCCTTGTAGAAGTTTTCTATTTACATTTTAACCCTTCCTAACACATTGGTGACAAAATATGCATGAAATGACTCTGTCAGTCCTGAAAAATTTGCCTGAAAATTGACACCCGAAGGGCATGTCTCATCCATTTCCATGGCAACCACTGAACCATGTGACATGAAACTTTTATCATATATTTGGTTAGCCTATACCAATATAACTTAGTAATTTGGAAACATTCCGCTGAGTATTTTTTGAGTTCTTGCCCAATTTTATAGTAGGGGTCCAAATTTTAGCCCATGGGGGGTAAAATGGCCACAAAATCTAAAAGCTGAAAAACTAAGATCTAATAATCCATACAAATATGTATAATCATAGTAGTAACATGAAAAATTATGTCTCATAAAATCCCTCTGAACGCACGCTGAAACCCACATTCTGACTGCACTATATGATTGTAGACCTGTCTACAGGAGACTTAAAATGATATACCTCCATTGTTTACCACAAGAATTATTGACCTCTCCAGAAGTTTACTGGAAGTTGTATCCTTGTATTCTAAACCAATTATTTTCAGTGAAACCAATATTGACCAGTTAAAAAAACATTCATTGTTATTAGATTTCTATAACTAAAAGAAAATTATCCAGAATATGACAATAAAAATCAGATTATTTTGTTATTATTTTATTAAGCATTGTAATTTGTATGAACTGAACTACATTTATTTTTTTAATGAAAACTTCTTACAGATCCTGATATTCGTTATTGTGTACTGGCATCTCTTGACGAAAGATTTGATGGACATCTTGCACAGGCTGAGAACTTGAGCGCCCTCTTTGTTGCACTTAACGATGAAGTGTTTGAGATTCGGGAACTTGCTATCTGTACCATTGGTCGCCTTAGTAACCTTAACCCTGCGTATGTGATGCCATCTTTGAGGAAAACATTAATACAGGTAATCCATGAATACAACCTTTATATAATACAGGTAATCCATGAATACAACCTTTATATAATACAGGTAAGCCATGAATACAACCTTTATATGAGGACATTAATACAGGTAATCCATGAATACAACCTTTATATGAGGACACCTCTATCATAGTGGCACAACCACAATATCATTAATACAGGTAATCCATGAATACAACCTTTATATGAGGACACCTCTATCATAGTGGCACAACCACAATATCATTAATACAGGTAATCCATGAATACAACCTTTATATGAGGACACCAGTGTATCCATAGTGGCACAACCACAATATCATTAATACAGGTAAACCATGAATACAACCTTTATATGAGGACACCTCTATCATAGTGGCACAACCACAATATCATTAATACAGGTAAGCCATGAATACAACCTTTATATGAGGACACCTCTATCATAGTGGCACAACCACAATGTCATTAATACAGGTAATCCATGAATATAACCTTTATATGAGGACACCTGTATCATAGTGGCACAACCACAATATCATTAATACAGGTAATCCATGAATTCAACCTTTATATGAGGACACCTGTATCATAGTGGCACAACCACAATGTCATTAATACAGGTAATCCATGAATATAACCTTTATATGAGGACACCTGTATCATAGTGGCACAACCACAATATCATTAATACAGGTAATCCATGAATTCAACCTTTATATGAGGACACCTGTATCATAGTGGCACAACCACAATATCATTAATACATCTAATCCATGAATACAACCTTTATATGAGGACACCTGTATCATAGTGGCACAACCACAATGTCATTAATACAGGTAATCCATGAATACAACCTTTATATGAGGACACCTGTATCATAGTGGCACAACCACAATGTCATTAATACAGGTAATCCATGAATATAACCTTTATATGAGGACACCTGTATGTATCATAGTGGCACAACCACAATGTCATTAATACAGGTAATCCATGAATACAACCTTTATATGAGGACACCTGTATCCATAGTGGCACAACCACAATGTCATTAATACAGGTAATCCATGAATATAACCTTTATATGAGGACACCTGTATCATAGTGGCACAACCACAATGTCATTAATACAGGTAATCCATGAATATAACCTTTATATGAGGACACCTCTATCATAGTGGCACAACCACAATGTCATTAATACAGGTAATCCATGAATACAACCTTTATATGAGGACACCTGTATCATAGTGGCACAACCACAATATCATAATACAGGTAATCCATGAATTCAACCTTTATATGAGGACACCTGTATCATAGTGGCACAACTACAATATCATTAATACAGGTAATCCATGAATTCAACCTTTATATGAGGACACCTGTATCATATTTAGTGGCACAACCACAATATCATAATACAGGTAATCCATGAATACAACCTTTATATGAGGACACCTGTATCATAGTGGCACAACCACAATGTCATTAATACAGGTAATCCATGAATACAACCTTTATATGAGGACACCTGTATCATATTTAGTGGCACAACCACAATATCATAATACAGGTAATCCATGAATACAACCTTTATATGAGGACACCTGTATCCATAGTGGCACAACCACAATGTCATTAATACAGGTAATCCATGAATACAACCTTTATATGAGGACACCTGTATCATAGTGGCACAACCACAATATCATTAATACAGGTAATCCATGAATTCAACCTTTATATGAGGACACCTGTATCATATTTAGTGGCACAACCACAATATCATAATACAGGTAATCCATGAATACAACCTTTATATGAGGACACCTGTATCATAGTGGCACAACAGCAATGTCATTAATACAGGTAATCCATGAATACAACCTTTATATAATACAGGTAATCCATGAATACAACCTTTATATAATACAGGTAATCCATGAATACAACCTTTATATAATACAGGTAATCCATGGATACAACCTTTATATGAGGACACCTGTATCATAGTGGCACAACCACAATATCATTAATACAGGTAATCCATGAATACAAACTTTATATGAGGACACCTGTATCATAGTGGCACAACAGCAATGTCATTAATACAGGTAATCCATGAATACAACCTTTATATGAGGACACCTGTATCATAGTGGCACAACCACAATATCATTTATACAGGTAATCCATGGATACAACCTTTATATGAGGACACCTGTATCATAGTGGCACAACCACAATATCATTAATACAGGTAAACCATGAATACAACCTTTATATGAGGACACCTCTATCATAGTGGCACAACCACAATATCATTAATACAGGTAATCCATGAATACAACCTTTATATGAGGACACCTGTATCATAGTGGCACAACAGCAATGTCATTAATACAGGTAATCCATGAATACAACTTTTATATGAGGACACCTGTATCCATAGTGGCACAACCACAATATCATAATACAGGTAATCCATGAATTCAACCTTTATATAAGGACACCTGTATCCATAGTGGCACAACCACAATATCATTTATACAGGTAATCCATGAATACAACCTTTATATGAGGACACCTGTATGTATCATAGTGGCACAACCACAATGTCATTAATACAGGTAATCCATGAATATAACCTTTATATGAGGACACCTGTATCATAGTGGCACAACCACAATATCATTAATACAGGTAATCCATGAATTCAACCTTTATATGAGGACACCTGTATCATATTTAGTGGCACAACCACAATATCATAATACAGGTAATCCATGAATACAACCTTTATATGAGGACACCTGTATCATAGTGGCACAACCACAATGTCATTAATACAGGTAAACCATGAATACAACCTTTATATGAGGACACCTGTATCCATAGTGGCACAACCACAATGTCATTAATACAGGTAATCCATGAATACAACCTTTATATGAGGACACCTGTATGTATCATAGTGGCACAACCACAATGGCATTAATACAGGTAATCCATGAATACAACCTTTATATGAGGACACCTCTATCATAGTGGCACAACCACAATGTCATTAATACAGGTAATCCATGAATACAACCTTTATATGAGGACACCTGTATCATAGTGGCACAACCACAATGTCATTAATACAGGTAATCCATGAATACAACCTTTATATGAGGACACCTGTATCATAGTGGCACAACCACAATGTCATTAATACAGGTAATCCATGAATACAACCTTTATATGAGGACACCTGTATCATAGTGGCACAACCACAATGTCATTAATACAGGTAATCCATGAATACAACCTTTATATGAGGACACCTGTATCATAGTGGCACAACCACAATGTCATTTCCATCAATTCTTGGCCTAATTGTGTGTAGATTTTGAAAACATTAAAATTAGACATGATATTCTTTCAATATTTTCAACCAGAATTGTTTTCTTAATCAATATTTACAAAGAATCATGATTTTGCAAAATGTGAGTAACATAAATGGGTATGAGTTAAAACAATTGATTTCATGTCCTATTTTTACGTATAGATTCTGACGGAGTTAGAGCATAGTGGAGTAGGTCGCAATAAGGAACAGGCTGCTCGTATGTTGGGTCATCTTGTCTCAAACGCCCCTCGTCTTATACGACCATACATGGAGCCAATACTCAAGGTAGGTTTGTGAATTTGCATTTTTTCTATAAAGAAAGCTTGATTATACTTTAAACTTGTATTGATTTCAATAACTTGACTTACAAACATATGTGTTTATATTAGAGGTGTCAAGTATTAACCGTTTAACCGCTGATAATGCCTTGACCGGTCTGTGTTTTTATGGGTGGTTAGTTGACCGTGTATAATTCTGTTATTTCCCGCGCTTATATTGCATGCTAATCTGTTTGGTTTTAAAGTGTCAGTTTCACGTAAGCTACTCCTACATGTCATAAGTTCGATAACTCCTTACAAACATCCAATTAGCAACTTTAATCCCTGCCACATTGCTTTCCCGCGCTTACTTTGCATGTTAATCTGTTTGTTTTTGAAGCGTCAGTTTCATATGAGCTACTCATACATGTGATACATTATCAGTTCAAATTTCACGCCGGTTAACCGACTTTAACCGGTAAAAACACCCGGTTAACCAGTTAATGCTCAAGCAGTTAATTGACACCACTAGTTTATATATCAAAATTGATTTGTAATCCATTAACTATGCCTTATCAGGTGCTGATTCCAAAGCTGAAGGACACAAAAGACAACAACCCAGGTGTGGTCAACAGTGTGCTTGCTGCCATTGGGGAACAGGCTCAAGTAAGGAGAACCAGAATTACTGTACATATGATTTTAATGATTTTGGGCAGGAAATAATTTTCATAAAGAATACAAGAAAACTTGTATATCTGAACACCTCTTTGATTTGAATTAACTTTCAATTTGACCAGTTTTTTCAATTCCCTTTTTACGTCAACACCACAAGATTGTTATAGTTTCAAACTTTTTGTGGATATTGTTTGACATCTGATGCTTGGTGGTCAGTGTACATCATCTGTAGCAATTGGCAGGTGGTGACATTTTGCGTATTAATGCCTTGTTTTAATCTGCCATAAATCTGAACACTTTTAGCAAGTTCCAGTGGTGTTTGGATTTGACAGGTTTTACTTTATGCCATTTCAATTCGGTATATTGGAAAAGACCCAGCTTCCATTAAATAAGAGACAATAATATTTCCATGAGTGATAATGTTACATGTTTGCCATCAGCGTGTCTTTGTCTATATAAGCTTTAAGAAAGAGGAGAATATGAACTCTTCTATTCTTTGTTTGAAGAACAACTTATGAAGAAACCAATAAATCCTAATCTTAACCTTGCCTCAAGCGTTGCCAGCAATGTCTAAACTTAATGACATTGTTCGTATTCCCTTGAGGCGCATAATAATTTGATTGTTACTATAGCGCCATCTTTCTCTACCCCATGAGATTGCTGATATTAAGTAACACAACAATAGAAAATAACCTGCTTGGTTTTAAGCAACATGAGATCTGTATTATAAGTATTGTCTTGCATTCAACATCAAACCCCTTGAAACTCACGGATGAAAAAGGTCAGATGGTGTATTATTTTCCTTTTTATTTGCAAGATATGTATGCGAATGAATTCTGGCTTCAAGTTGATTCAGTGTTGGCGCAAATGTGTACTTATTCCAAGCATGAGGAAGATTTTGAAATTATATTTATTATATAATTTTGATTTGAATTTAAGGATAAAACGACTGAATATTTTTATGTAGTGGTGCAATATATGACCTCTGGTTTATGTTTAAAATTATTTAGTATATTTGATCAATTTTTTGCATTAAGATCATAAATATGTGTGTTTAATATATGTACATATATATTCCTCCAATTTAATTGCTGGTTGTGACTATCACTATCAGAATTGTTGATATTTTCATTAATATTTCAGGTGAGTGGAGTTGAGATGAAGAAATGGATGGATGACCTTATGCCAATTATACTAGACATGCTACAAGACTCATCCTCCATGCAGAAAAGAGAGGTAAGGCAGAAAAAGAAAACAATACTTCAACATACTTCTGTTAATTTATCGATTTATTATTTATTTGTAATTGTTTTATACACAGGGACATCACCAGTCATATATCGACCATGAAATATTACTAAAGCAAAATTATAAAATTAACATAACTTTAAAACTGTTATATTTATTTGTCAGTTTGAGAACTATGTTTCATTACATTTTATTTAATCACACCAATTTGCTGGAAATGGCCTTACTGTATATAGTTTTTCATAGTATTCAGTCTTTAATGTTGCACCTAATGAAAAGGGTTTATATCTGTAGAATATTTACTCATACATGTACTTTAATTTATGCTCATATAGAAAAATACCAAATTATTGTGTCTTTTATGAAAGTTCATAATGATGTGAAATTATTCTCTGTTGGGCATATATAGGTGGCTCTGTGGACACTCGGTCAGCTAGTAGAGAGCACAGGGTATGTTGTGGAGCCATACAAGAAGTACCCGACACTACTAGAGGTCTTACTCAACTTCCTCAAGACAGAACAAGCTGTTGGAATAAGACGGGAGGTAAATAGGTGTCTAATAAATATCATTTGTCATCTGGTTGTTAAATTCAGTTTTGACTGCTTTAAACTTCTCAAGATAAAAAACTCATGAAGATATCAATATCCACTCATGGATTTAAATAATCTTTTTTCAAAACCATAGGATATTCCTATAATATGTGTGACATCTCATATTGCAGGCTATTAGAGTGCTTGGTCTCCTAGGGGCATTGGACCCATATAAACACAACATTAACAAGGGCATGATCAACAAGGAAGATGCAGGTGCTGTTCTCAGCATGTCAGACCCTGGGAGTGGGGAAGGGGGAGAAACAGGTATGTGTCTACAGGGTGTACCATTTATTTGGGACACCCTGTATATTGCATCGTAAAAGTACAAGCTAAATGATACATTTCTTTTGTATGACTAAATCATGAAACTTCACAAGTCACACAGTTAATTATTGTTGAATACAGTCTTATGTATAGCTCTATTATAACATTTTGTATAGTGCCATAAAACATACACATTGTGATAATTGATGAGTGACGTTTGTTCTGTGGGATTTACTACCCTTGAGAGGTGCTGATGTAAAGACCCAAGGGTACATCCAGGGACCTGGAACTAACGGCACCTCCAGGGAACTGTAGTGAAACATTAATCAGATACAGACATGAAAGAGAGCATCCTAAATTCAATGACCTGTGTAGGAATCAAACCTAAGACCCAAGCTAGTTTCCTTTGGAAGTCTGTTCTATATTGATAGCATTGTAATAACATTTGTTGATAGTCACATTCCTTCATTTCTCTATACTGTAGAAGAGTACAGCACCAGTGAGATGTTGGTCAGCATGGGCACTGCCACATTGGAAGAGTTCTACCCAGCTATTGCCATATCTACATTAATGAGGATCATCAGAGACCCCAGCCTCTCCCAGCACCACACCATGGTTGTCCAGGCCATCACTTTCATCTTCAAGAGCCTCGGCATTAAGTGTGTCACGTATCTGCAACAAGTCATGCCTGCCTATCTTAATGTTATCAGAACGTCAGATGCCAACTTCAGAGAGGTAAATTTAATTAATAAATGCATGGCTTTACAAAATATAAACACAACTTTATTTGAACTTTAAAGGAAATCATTTACTAGAAGGTTCATTGGGCTTCATTTTAATCAATATCAAATGTTATGAAATTTTGAATCTATTGCTTTCCTCGAATCAAGATACAACATTTTAAGCTGAAGCTGTAAGTTTTTCAACATTTTGGACCAAAATTGTTAAATCTGAACATATTAAAGAATGCCCGACCCCCCCCCCCCAGTCTTTGAAAGCTGGCTACCTGCCTGTTTGTTCATTCACAACTGTTTACATATTGACATCATTCATAAGTTCGATATTTACATGTACTTTTAGTTCCTGTTCCAACAGCTAGGGGTCATCATAAGCATTGTGAAGCATCATGTTAGGAACTACCTTGATGACATCTTTGAGCTGATTAAGGTACTATTTTCATTTTTATCACACCATCGGTGGGATATAGTCGTCATACTGGTCGTGGTCGTGGTCGTGATCGTGATCGTCCCGCTTTTTGTCATCGCCGTTTAAGGAAAACTGCACATCAGATTTTCTCCAAATTCGCAGAGATTGGGTGGCCATCTTGTTTTCTGGCAGCCATTTTGAAGGTTTTTCGAAAAATCTTGTCATCGCCATTTCAGGAAAACCGCTCATTGGATTTCCTTTCAAATTTACACAAATGATAGAGGATATCAAGTACTAGAGCTGATTAACTTTTGGGCGGCCATCTTGTTTTCTGGCAGCCATTTTGAAGATTTTTCGAAAAATCTTGTCATCGCCATTTCAGAAAATCCGCTCATCGGATTTCCTTCAAATTTACACACATGATAGAGGATATCGAGTACTAGAGCTGATTAACTTTTGGGCGGCCATCTTGTTTTCTGATGGCCATTTTGAAGGTTTTTCGAAAAATCTTGTCATCGCCATTTCAGGAAAACCGCTCATCGGATTTCCTTCAAATTTACACAAATGATAGAGGATATCAAGTACTAGAGCTGATTAACTTTTGGGCGGCCATCTTGTTTTCTTGTTCTTGAAATTTGTTAACATAATAGGAGAACAGTTTTCCTGGTTCATAGTGTCTGCCTATTTGATGGTGTGATCTCGTTCACGTCATGTGCCTTGTTTAAACTTGAATCAGTAATACTACATGTATAATCTTTCAGAAAGTAACAAACCTTCAATGAGTACATTTCATGAAAGGCCATCTCGAACATTTGAGAAATAGTTAATTTGATTACGAAACATTTATTGCACTTCAGTCTCACATTGAAGAATTGATTCAGAACCGCAAAACGGCATGCCGCTTTTATAGATATTGGGCCCGCGCCAAAACTAGCGATCCAAATATTGTATCTGAAATGTGGGATTTTTATATATCTCGAAAACAGCAAGATCAGGAAAAAATTAAAGAATTACATGTTCAATCCCATATCAATCTTTATAAAAAATGCCAAACTTTGTGACAAAGAATTTCATCAGCTATTGCCCCGAACCGGTCCGTCTTCTCGCTGCAAGCAGATTGCCCCGAACCGGTCCGTCTTCTCGCTGCAAGCAGGATGAAATTCTTTGTCACAAAGTTTGGCATTTTTTATAAAATCAAACGTGCGTCATTGAAACTCACAAGATGTAAATAGCATGTCATTTACATCATACCTTGATGGGGAAAAGTAGATCTTATATGTTAGAAGTACTAAATAAAAGTTATCGTGAAAATGAGACAGTCGTTCTCGAGAGAAAAGAGCATAAATGCACATTTAGAGAGTTTTGGTCCGTTTAAAAATCTGTAAAAAATTGGGGTACTTAAAAGCATCGGGAGGCATCAATATATTTCAAATTAGACACGAGGAAGTCAATATTGAGCAAGTTATGGCTTTTTAAATTCAAATAAAACCGTTAAAGGCCCCATATAAAGAATAAGTTCTGTGCATTTGTAATTTACTAGTACTCCTGAAATCACCTGCAGGAACCAGTTTTTTTTTTACAATCAGCCTATACTTGATTTGCTTTCAATCATAGGCATTACGTTATCAATTTTCTAGGAATTTTATTATTAGACTTTAACATCTATCATTATTATCATTGTTATATTCTATTTTTATCAACCAAATTATCAAGCAAATGAATTATTCTTCACTCGTAGTGAATGATGCGCCATGCTATTGTACTACTCTACCATTTTATAATGTTCATGATAGCGATTTCCTATCTATAGCACCTTATGGTCCAAGTGCTTCTACTTTTGAAGATTTACTCTTTGATCCAATTTCATTTAACGATGCTGCTGACAACAGCAGTGAATCAATCAGAGGTATCACTGATAACCTTGTACAGCATTGTAACTACCACTCCCCCAATCAATTAAGTGAAGTTCTCAATTCTTCACCTAAGAATGGTCTTAGTCTCCTAAACTTGAATATTCGTAGTTTCTCTGCCAATCAACAAAAACTAGAAACAATGCTCAGTCTCTTAACTAAATCATTCTCAATAATTGGATGTACTGAAACTTGGCTGAAGAGCCATACCGAATGTCAAGCAACTCTCATGAATTATAATTCTGAATTTAATAGTAGAAAGATCAAAACCGGAGGAGGTGTCGGCCTTTTCATCAACAAAGCCGTAGAATATGTTAGACGTGATGATCTTCAGATCAACCACGACTCATGTGAATCCCTGACCATCCAGCTTACCAACTCAAAAAATAAAAACATCCTAATCTCAATTATATATAAACCTCCTAACACTAATCAAGAGGAATTCAATACTGATCTTCAAGCACTTCTTGATACTATCTCAAAGGAAAAAAAAACAGTGTATATTCTTGGTGATTTTAATTGTGACCTTTTAAAAGCAGAAAGCAACCATGCTACTCAGGATTTTTTAAATCTATTTTACTCACATAACCTTATACCACTTATCTATAGACCAACCAGAATAACCAGAAACACTGCGACTCTAATTGACAATATATTTACAAATGCTCCAAGTATTTCTAGAGCAGGTATTATTCTTGAAGACATATCTGATCACTTTCCAATATACGCCCTTACTGAAATGCAAGCCCAAAAAATTAAAACGTCCACAGTTTCATTCAGGCAATTTAATAACACCAATAAATCAAGCTTCAAAGAACAAGTCAAAACTATGATATGGCATAATATTGAAAATACTAACGATGTAAATGAAGCTTATTCCAATTTTGATAAAGAACTTTCAATCATATTCAATCAATGTTTTCCTATAAAAACATTCAAATCTTCACATTACTTTGACCCCTCACGCCCATGGCTTTCAACTGCAATACTGACATCAGCGAAACGTAAGAATAATTTATACAAAAAATTCATCCAATACCCCAATGAACATAATAAGAAAATCTACAAATCATTCAGTCATAAGCTCAAGCATATTATTAGATATGCCAAACAAATGCACTTTGAAAACAAATTTGCAATGGTGAGTGGAAACATGAAAAAAACATGGCAACTAATAAATCAAGTGTTGGGGCGCTCAAAGTTCAACAAAACATCAACTGTCCCTATGCTTATTAACGGGGTCCTCAGTAATGATAGTTCAAAAATATCCAATGGTTTCAATAATTATTTTGCCAATATTGGTAAATCATTGGCAGATAAAATCCCCACATCTAATTCATCCTTTAAAGAGCATCTCAAGAAGATTAAACACGTCTCTTCATCCTTATTTTTCAGCCCGATAACAGAAAGCGAGCTATCAACGGAAATAACAGCCTTAAAAAATACAGCCGCGCCAGGCCTTGATGGGTTCAAGGCTGATATAATAAAATCTGTTGGTGCTTATCTCGTCAGGCCACTACTATATATCTTCAATCTCTCACTATCAACTGGAACATTTCCCAATCAATTAAAAGTAGGAAAAGTCACACCAATTTTCAAAAAGGGAGATACTCAGCTCTTTTCAAATTACAGGCCCATTTCAGTGTTATCCGTATTTTCAAAATTACTCGAGAGATGCGTACACTCTCGCCTTGTAAGCTTTCTAAACAAATTTGAAATACTTTATAAAAACCAATTTGGTTTCCAGAAGAAAAAGTCTACATACATGCCACTTCTAACTTTTATTGAAAAGATAAGATGTGCAAATGGAAGCAAAATTCCTTCACTAGGGATATCATTAGACTTCTCAAAAGCATTTGACACTATTGATCATAATATATTATTAGATAAACTCTCACACTACGGAATGCGCGGTGTTACCCTTTCTTGGTTTCAAAGTTACTTAACTCAACGTCTTCAGACTGTTATTTCTAATGGCTGTAAATCGAAACAAACCTCATTATCTCATGGTGTCCCTCAAGGTTCAGTGCTTGGTCCTATTTTATTTCTTCTTTACATAAATGACATCTACAAATCCTCTGATTTCTTTGAATTCATACTATTTGCTGATGATACCAATCTCTTGGCCTCTCACAAAGATTTACCCACTCTATTTGACACCGCAAATGAAGAACTTTCAAAGCTCAGTGACTGGATCAATGCCAATAAACTTTCTTTAAACATTGACAAAACTAAATGGATTCTCTTTGGACCAGGTAAAACTTCTAACAATCATTTTCTCAAAATAAATGACACCAAACTCAAGCAAGACATCACTATATCTTTCTTAGGAATAGCTATTGATGCCAATTTAACTTTCAAAGAGCATATCAAAAACTTAGAAAAAAAGATTTCTCAGTGCATTGGGGTCTTGTATGGAGTCCATAATCTTTTAACAAAAAGTGCTTTGCTCAGTATATACTACTCTCTTATTCACTCTCAACTCAATTACTGCAATATTATTTGGGGTAACAACTACAAATCTTATCTTAATAAAATTCACATGATTCAAAAACGATTTGTTCGCATTGTTTTAGGAAAAAAATACCTTGATCATACAGCTTCATTATTCAAAGAACTTAATCTTCTGAATATATATGATATAAATAAGCTGAATACAGCAATTTTCATGTACCAAATAAAAGATGGTGACCAAATACTAAATTCTCTACTCGATACAAATTTCGAAATAAACTGTGATACACATAGTTATAATACCCGCCAATGTGACAACTTCCATATTGAACATGCGAACAAATTTTCCATAAAACGTAATGGGCCTTCACTATGGAATTCTCTTAAAAATTCCACAAAAATGTCAAAATCTATAATCTCCTTTAAAAAGGCCTACAAATCTGACCTCTTGTCAAGCTACTTATAAAGAATCTGTCTTATTAAACATCTTTATTTACTATCCACGCATTGTATATTACAATAGTCATGGCACATCATTTAAAAACACAACGTACATACATGCTTAGTGTATGCATTGTACTATGTTATATCATGTAAATACTTGTATATATGAAACTCATATACCTATATACCATTGTAAACTAGTTAGACTATATA